TGTTGACATCCAGCGTCAAAGCTCGTTGCTGTCTGACCATTTCTTGATCACGTTTGATCTCGCTTTGGAGGACTTTCTTGTCCCGCAAGATAAAACCATAATGAAAAGAACCTTAAATGATAAATCTATCACAAGGTTCAAAGAACTAATACAGCCTATGTTGAATACTGCTGCAGGTGAACCTGTTCACAGCAGCTGCAGTCCCTCAGTCATTGACCAAACGGTGGGCAACACTATGGAGTCTTTAAAATCTGCATTAAATGCAGCAGCTCCTTTAAAACAGAAAACCATTAGGATTAGATCATCGTCGCCCTGGTACAGTGTTCAACTCCACACTTTAAAACAGGACGTCAGAAAATTGGAGAGGCTATATCGCCACTCCCACTCGGAGCCTGTCCACAGGGAGTGGAAAGCAGGTCTCCGAAACTACAAGAAGGCCCTTCGCGGGGCTCGAACTCAATACTATTCAACTTTAATAGAAGCGAATAAAAACAACAGTAGATTTTTGTTTGGCACCGTCGCTAAACTCACAAACTGCCATAGCGCAATCGAGCCTAAAATTCCAAGCTCACTGAGCAGTGTCGACTTTCTCCACTTCTTTAATAATAAAATTACATCCATCCGTGACAAGCTGGAGGAGGTTGCTCCTGCTGTTAGTGGTGGACAGGTTGAAGCGGCATACGTGACTTCCCACTTAGACTCTTCAGTGGGCCTTAATAAATTCATGGCTGTGAGCCAAGCAGAGGTGATCTCTGTGGTCACATCCTCAAAAGCCTCAACTTGCATGTTAGACGCAGTCCCGACATGGCTCTTCAAAGACATACTTCCTTTGATAATTGAGCCTATCGTAAATATAATAAACGCATCCATACAATGTGGCTATGTCCCACAAGCTTTTAAAACCGCGGTAATCAAACCCCTTCTGAAGAAAACAAACCTGGACCCAGAAATACTTACAAACTACAGACCGATCTCAAACCTCACTTTTTTATCTAAAATCCTGAAAAAACTTATAGCTGAGCAGCTCCGCTGCCACCTGCAGGAAAATGATATGTTTGAAGTCTTTCAATCAGGATTCAGAGCTCATCATAGCACTGAAACGGCACTAGTCAAAGTCACAAATGACTTACTACTAGCTGCCGATAATGGACAAGTGTCAGTGCTGGTCCTACTGGACCTTAGTGCTGCATTTGACACAATAGACCACAGCATTCTACTGCAGAGGCTAGAATGTGATATAGGTCTTAGAGGAACAGCCCTTGGCTGGTTTAAATCCTATTTATCAGATCGATATCACTTCGTCAATGTGAATCAGGACTCGTCGCCTTATTCTGGAGTGGAATTCGGTGTGCCGCAGGGTTCGGTACTCGGACCGATTCTTTTTACTCTCTACATGCTGCCACTGGGAAACATTATTAAAAAGCATGGAATTAATTTCCACTGCTATGCAGATGACACACAGCTTTATCTGTCGATGAAGCCTAATCAGACAGATCAGCTAGAAAAGCTCAGTGCCTGCATAAAGGACCTTAAAATGTGGATGACTCTTAACTTCCTACTTCTCAACCCGGAGAAGACAGAAGTGATCCTACTCGGTCCGAAGCGCCTGCGTGACTCCCTCACTAACCAGATGGTTACTCTCGATAATGTCAGTATAATACCCAGTAACACTGTGAGGAATCTTGGAGTCATTTTTGACCAAGAACTCTCCTTCAAGGCTTATATAAGCCAAGCAACTAAAACGGCGTACTTCCACTTACGGAACATCGCTAAAATTAGGAATTTCCTTCCTAAAAGTGACGCGGAAAAACTCATTCACGCGTTTGTCACCTCAAGGCTCGACTACTGTAACGCTTTACTGGCAGCGTGCCCTAAAGCCTCTTTGAAGAGCTTCCAGCTCGTTCAGAATACAGCAGCTAGGATCTTAACAGGTACCAAAAGGAGGGAGCACATAACTCCGGTGTTAAAATCACTCCACTGGCTCCCTGTGGAGTACAGAATAAAGTTTAAAATCCTACTCTTAACATATAAAGCCATAAATGGCTTGGCTCCTTCTTATCTCCAAGACACGTTAGTGTCGTATCAACCAGGTCGAGCGTTGCGCTCACAAAACGCCAGACGTCTGGTGGTCCCTAAGGTCTCAAAGGTCACTGTTGGTGGCAGAGCATTTAGCTACCAAGCTCCTTTACTGTGGAATCAGCTTCCCATTTATGTTAAGGAAGCAGATACGGTCTCCACATTCAAGGCCAGGCTTAAAGCACTTTACTTTAATTTAGCATAAAATTAGGTAATATATAATATGTAGTGTATATATTATATATATATGCTGTATTATGTTATATATTATGTTATATATTATTCAATAATGTATTGTGTTATGTTGTATATTATGTTATATATTATGCTGTATGTTATTCTTTATTCAAAGCTAGGTTTAAAACAGTCCTCTTTAGTTTAGCATATGGCTAGGAAGGTAAGACTCGGAGAAGGTTAAACTCCTCAGAGTGTTAGTCAAGCTGCATAGGGAGTCAGTTTGCTGGGAGAAGTATGGTAACTTGAGCACTATCCTCTCCTCCTTCCTACTTTATCTGTTTAGCATTTTTAGGATTCTGACTGTAGTTTGTTCATTGCTATTCACCCGTTGTCCCATTGTCTGTTTCATGGTACGATGACGGGATCTCTGAGCCTGGCCTCTTCCATCTACACCTGCGGACTGCCCCGCCCGACCCGCCTGGGAGTGCTTCGGTCCTGCACCGGACCTGTCCACGTTCAGCGTCCACTGGTCCACGTTCTGTAGCTAGCTTAGGTCCTAGATCATTAGTCTGTCCGTCCGGAGGAGCGGATCCCTTTCTCATATGGGTCTCCCTCCCTGTGGGTTTCCCCTAGTTCTCCTCCAAGGTTTCTCACTTTTTCCCACTGGGTTTTTTAAGAGTTTTTCCTTGTCGATGCAGGAGGGTCTTGTTGGACAGTTAGTGTCCAACAGAAAGGATTGGTGATGATCAGGACACTTTAGCATTCTACAACATGTGTTTCTTCTGTGTGTGCTTTATATTCTTCATGTGTTTTAACTGTTGATTCTCTGACCTGTGTTGGTGATTTCAATGGTTTTGTTAAGTCCTCTGAGATGACTTCTGTTGTGACCTAGGGCTATACAAGAATACATTGTATTGTGTATTGTATTGTACCCTACTCTACTCTACTCTACTCTACCCTACTCTACTCTACTCTCCCCTTCTCTACTCTACTGTACTCTACCCTTCTCTACTCTACCCTACTCTACTCTACTCTACTCTACCCTTCTCTACTCTACTCTACTGTACTGTACTCTACTCTACTCTACTCTACTCTTCTCTATTCTATTCTACTCTACCCTTCTCTACTCTACCCTACTCTACTCTACTCTACTGTACTCTACTCTACTCTACTCTTCCCTACTCTTCTCTATTCTATTCTACTCTACCCTTCTCTACTCTACCCTACTCTACTCTACTCTACTCTACTCTACCCTTCTCTTCTCTACTCTACTCTACTCTACTCTACTCTACTCTACTCTACCCTTCTCTTCTCTACACTACTCTACTCTACTTTTTTAAACCCCCTCACTGAGGCGTGTGTCCAGAATTGTTGCTCACCTTCTCACAGTTATGCTAACCCTAAGTCCACTGTTAGCATTAGCATCCCGCCGGGGCCGCAGGCCATTTACAGCTCCAGACTCTAGAGAAGAGAAGGGTAGAGTAGAGTAGAGTAGAGTAGAATAGAGTAGAATAGAGTAGAGTAGAGGTCCATCTTAAAGTCACTGTCATTCAGGTCAGAGAGACTCTGAAGCCACAGCTGCCCTGAGGAAGAAGGAAGTCTGCTGTATATGAACCAGGACATGGACCAGGGTTAAGGCCAGGGCCAGGACCAGGACCAGCACCAGGACCAGGGCCAGGGCCAGGACCAGGACATGGACCAGGGCCAAGACCAGGACCAGGACATGAACCAGCAACAGGATGACAACCAGATCCAGGACAAGAGCCAGGACCAGAACCAAGACCAAGGCCAAGATCCTCCTCTCTCGCGGTGTCTATGTGAGAAACCCCGGTGACAGATTCCGTTTCATACGTTTGTCCTCTGCTCCCTGAGGATGTCTCCAGTGTCTGTCCTGTCAGATCTCAGAAGCTAAGTGAGCAGGACCTGGTTAGTACTGTGATGGGAGACCTCTGTAAAGACCATCTGTAGTGGTAATCTGCCATTGTGTTCTTTGGCAAGACACTTCCCCCACTTTGCTCAGTATGAGCCCAGCGTGAATGATTTGCGCTGGTCGACCAACTACTTTCTTTGTGTTTAGATACATACTCTACAGTCCCTGTGCTCCTCAGAGTCCCAGCAGGAGGCCAGTCCCTGTGCTCCTTAGAGTTGGCTCATATGGTACAGATGTGTACCTGTGCTCAGGCCTTAGAGCAGGACTGGTGCAGGTCTGTGATGTCACACAGGTCTCTGTGTGATTATAATAATTTGTAGCGGTGTCGTAATCTTCCGGCTCTTTCTTCTGGTCCCGGTGCCGTCTGCTCTGAGTCTTTGGTGGAACTCTCTGAAGTTAAAGCTCTGGTCCCTGTCATCTGCTGTTCCCACACTCCGCCCTGGTTCAACTCCTCTGTAGTCCTGGTCCAGCCCCGGTCTAGGTCCGGTCCTGGTCCCAGGGCAGTGTGTGATCATTGGAGCAGGCGGGACAGGGCTGTAAAATGGCCCTCCCTCTGCCTTGAAAGCCCTCATTAAACCCCCCCCCCCCCCCCCCCCCCCCCCCCATCCCTCCTCCTCCCCCTTTTTCAAGCTCCAGGATCAGACCAGGGGACTTTACCCGGTGTGTTCCACTGGGACCAAGTCCTTTAGACCAGGTCTTTCTTTAGATCCAGGTCCTTCTTTGGGTCCAGACCAGACAAAACACATAGATCTGAGGTTTCAGTCACGTTTTAAAGTAACAAGTTTGAATCTAATGTAGGCAGAAGGGTTGGGGGGACATGTGGAACCCTCTGTTTTCCCATGAGGACCTGTCACAGAGACTGGAGCTCACAGACAGGACCTCACTGACAGGACCTCACAAAGACTGGACCTCACAGACAGGACCTCACAAAGACTGGACCTCACAGACAGGACCTCACAAAGACTGGACCTCACAGACAGGACCTCACAGACAGGACCTCAAAGAGACTGGGCCTCACAGACTGGACCTCACAGAGACTGGACCTCACAGACAGGACCTCACAAAGACTGGACCTCACAGACAGGACCTCACAGACAGGACCTCAAAGAGACTGGACCTCACAGACGGGACCTCAAAGACTGGACCTCAAAGACTGAACCTCAAAGACTGGACCTCAAAGGCTGGACCTCACAGACTGGACCTCACAGAGACTGGACCTCACAGACTGGACCTCACACAGACTGGACCTCACACAGACAGGACCTCACAAAGACTGGACCTCAAACAGACAGGACCTCACACAGACTGGACCTCACAGACCTCCGCATGGTCCAGTCCCTGGTTGGTCCTCTGCAGTTGCGTTACTGTGTGTCTCCCTGTCATTACTTGTGTAAAGTGTGATGACAGCAGAGTGGAGCAGCGGCAGACACACGGGCTCTCTGTGATCACTGTGTTTACTGAACATTAGCTCCTGACCGTCGTTTGACCCAAATCCAAACTCTCAGAGAAAAGCAGCAACTCTGAGTTTCTTTCAAGTTAGAAACGTCTCAGAAAACTATTAATGATGTTTGTTTGTTTCATCTTTCAAATATGTTGCTGCAAATACTCTGATACAGTCTCAGTCCTGGGTCTACAGCCTCAGTCCTGGGTCTACTGAGTCTACAGCCTCAGTCCCGGGTCTACAGCCTCAGTCCTGGGTCTACAGCCTCAGTCCTGGGTCTACAGCCTCAGTCCTGGGTCTACAGCCTCAGTCCTGGGTCTACAGCCTCAGTCCTGGGTCTACAGCCTCAGTCCTGGATCTACAGCCTCAGTCCTGGGTCTACAGCCTCAGTCCTGGAGTCCCACAAACTCTAAGATTCTGCTTCACTTTATTTTTACACGATTGACAGAGCAGAGAGAGACCAGAGGGAGACCAGAGAGAGACCAGAGAGAGACCAGAGAGAGACCAGAGAGAGAGAGACCAGAGGGGGACCAGAGAGAGACCAGAGAGAGACCAGAAAGAGAGACCAGAGGGAGACCAGAAGAAGAGAGACCAGAGAGAGACCAGAGAGAGAGAGATAGAGACCAGACAGTTCTGTTTAGCTGTGCTACACCTGAATAACTGTACCTTTATGATTTTCATACCATGTGTGATTGTCTGTATCTTGTTTGTTACAGCACTTTGAGTTCCCGTGTGCATGAACTGCGCTATACAAATAAACTTACCTTCCCTTTAAGTGGAAACCAAACAGACAGCCATTGTACAAGTCTGTATCAAAATGGGTGGATTGCAGGAGGATTCAGGTTTTGGGTTCGCACTGAAACATGGCTTGTGTTGTCTGTGGGGAAGCACCATCCGAGGAGCCGTCTTCTGCAGCAGCGGCTAAGGACAGCTGTCAATCAGAGCAGCGTGAGACACATTCAGAGACGGTGAAACATCAGTGACTGGAGCTGAATCAGAGAAACTCGTCTGAACTCGATACACAGAGAGAGTGTGGAATTATTGAAACGACCAGGTGCTCAAGTGGAAGAGCGGTTTAACTTAGTAACAAATACAACACAATCATACAACACAATCATACAACACAATCATGCAACACAATCATACAACACAATCATACAACACAATACAAAACAATGTATTCTTGTATAGCCCTAGGTCACAACAGAATGTTAGTATTAGATAGCAATATGGCCTACGTGCAGGACTGTACAAGGACTCTGATTATTGTGACTCTGATGTGACTGTCTCTGTGTGACACGTCTTTCAATGTGTGACGTGACAATGACTATATAAACTGTGTACTGCCTTTAACAATGACTATATAAACTGTGTACTGCCTTTATTTTGTCTGGGAGAAAGAAACAATGGAAACCAGTGGAACTTGAGAGAAACTTAAATAAACTTCCAGAGTTTGGCGCACCACGATCCGTCTCTGTCTGCTTCATCCCTGACAAGAAGTCATCTCAGAGACTTAACAAAACCATTGAAATCACCAACACAGGTCAGAGAATCAACAGTTAAAACACATGAAGAATATAGAACACGTGTTGATAAATGTCATACATTAGTAGAATGTTAAAGTGTCCTGGATCATCACAGTCCTTCTAGTTGGACACTAATGCTGTTCTTCCACAGTCCTAGTACGGTACGTTTTGACTCTACACGGCGCTCCATGGCCCAGTTCGCGTGCTTTTGCATCAAAAATAGTACCCCCAGTATGTCCTCAGCGTTGTCAGACCACGTCATTTACGTGTGACGCGTAACTAGTACTGGTGCGGTGCATGGATTTATTATAATACCAGAGCAAGTGTTTAATAGAAAATTCAGCACAGCACGAGTAGTTTTTGAAAATACTTATGTCTTAAAAGAATGACCCAGAAACTGTGAAGTCAATGGTGCTGACTGCTCTGTACAATCTGAATGGGACATACCTGTAGCAACAGCAGCCTGTGTTGCAGAGGAGGAGGGCTGCATGTCCGAGGATACTGCTAGGCTATAGCTAATGCCAGCGCTAGCTCGAGATTCAGCTCACTCACTAACTCTGGATTCCAAAGCTACTACTACACTACACTCAACACATCCATCACTGCCATCAGAGGAGGATCCAGGGTTTAAACTCGTCATATGGCAACTCGAGCAGTAAAGGACCGAGGGAGAGACAGCGGCAGCCATAGGGGTAGTGAGTTAGCGGCTAAGCTAGGCTAGGCTAGGCTAAGCTAGTCCGGACTACAGCAGACTCCGAGACCAGACAAACAATCGATACCCAAACCTCAGCTACAATAATAATAAATGAATGAAACACAGTCTTGATACAATCACAGATTTATTGAAAACAAAAGTAAAGTGCAAAACCAACAGTTTACAAAGTCAAAAGTACATATGTCTGAGACCAGGTCCAGACCAGGTCCAGACCAGGTCCAGACCAGGTTCAGATGAGGAGAATACTCTGGTCACTCATTACTCGTTGGTAATCTCCACACTTATGGAAAGGGATTCTCAAACAAATATACACTCGACAACTTAAATACAAGCACAAAACAGAATGACAACATGTGAATACTGCAGATAATACGAGATAAAGCACAGTAGCACAGGGAGCACGTTAGCTTAGCTGCTATCGATAGCTAAATGAAGCTAAATGTAGCTAGCTCACTGTGTACAACAGACAATCGAACATGTAAACAGTAAATACATTTCAGTGAGAGCTTTAGGGGATTTGTAGCTAGCCAGTTATTTCAGGATTACCACAGACTAGTCTCAAATCCAGAGCTGGTGATCTCCTGAAAACTGTTGAGCCTCGAGCTGCCTTTGAATTCTTTCTTTGGCCTGAAGAGAGGAACGTGTGGACCTCTTCCACCGACCAGGACCAGGACTTTTGGGGCTTTCTGTGCAATTCCATTTCTCTGGAGTGAGGAGGACGTAATGTAGCTGAAGCAGAGCCGAGCAGAGCAGCCTGTTTTAAAGATGGCGGTTGAGTTGTTTTTCCCAAAGGGTCAGAGGTCGCTTCCAGTGACGACACTCGTTGACCAATCAGTGTAAGGCAGTGGGCCGACGTCACGTCATGGCACGAGTACTATGGGGATGGAACCACGGCTGAGGCAGTACGGAAAAGTACTCAAATCTCCCATTCCATCCACCAGTGGAAACGCAAAATAGGTCAAAAACTACTCGTGCCGTACCGTACCGAAATGAACTGAACCGACACTGTGGAAAAACGGCATAACTGCCCAACAGGCTAGTCTAAAACAGTCCTCTTTAGTTTAGCATAAAAGTCTGAGGCTAAACTCCTCAGACTTTCAGTCAAGCTGCATAGGGAGCCCCCTGCTGGAGAAGTATGGTAACTTGAGCACTATCCTCTCCTCCTTCCTACTTTATCTGTTTAGTATTATTAGGATTTTGACTGTAGTTTGTTCATTGCTATTCACCCGTTGTCCCATTGTCTGTTTCATGGTACGATGACGGGATCTCTGAGCCTGGCCTCCTCCATCTACACCTGCGGACTGCCCCGCCCAACCCGCCTGGGAGTGCTTCGGTCCTGCACCGGACCTGTCCAGTGGGAAAAAGGTTTCTCACTTTTTCCCACTGGGTTTTTTAAGAGTTTTTCCTTGTCGATGCAGGAGGGTCTTGTTGGACAGTTAGTGTCCAACAGAAAGGATTGGTGATGATCAGGACACTTTAGCATTCTACAACATGTATGGACATTTTCTTTTGTGTGTGCTTTATATTTTTCATGTGTTTTAACTGTTGATTCTCTGACCTGTGTTGGTGATTTCAATGGTTTTGTTAAAGGCACACCGCGGACTTTGTGACCTAAAGAGTTGACACATATGAGTTATTTTATATGAATACTTGGGCCAATATACAGCGCTTGACACTTGCAATGCTCCGAGCGGGGCTGCCCTCTTGAAATACCGCCCATGTAAGTTTCGAGCAGACGGACCGTCTGCCACCAGGTCACGTGACTTGGAAGAAAGACTTGCTTTACGGCTACAGGCGCTGATATACTCATGGAGCTAAGGCTTTTGCTACTCATTTTTCACCTGCTCGACTCCTGGTCATGGCTGAGGCAAGGAAAAATTTTAAACCTTCGGAGGAGGCTAAAAAGAGGAAACGCGAAAGGGATCGTGCTGTAAGCTGCATGTCTGTATGAGCGCTGCTCTTCACCTGGTTCCTGGATGTCATCGACTGCAAAGATGTCATTCCACGCAGCACGAGCTAGACGCAGAACTCCCTCATCCAGGATATAGAAGTCCATGTGTGGTAGATTACTAATGCAGCGGTCTGGAGGCTGACCACAGCAGAGTCTCTCAATATCTGTAGGCATGTCTCTACAGTTTGAACACACACACCAGTGCATGCTGTCTGAATACACACTCAAAAGACACCGGCTGACTGTTTGTTGACTTTTGCGACAGTGCTGAGTTGCTTGTGGCCACTAGGGGCGCTAAACGTGAAAGTTGCAGGTCTAGCGCCCCTAGTGGCCAAGAGTTACACGGTGTGCCTTTAAGTCTCTGAGATGACTTCTGTTGTGACCTAGGGCTATACAAGAATACATTGTATTGTATTGTTGTATATATCCTGGATCTAATACAGCTTCCAGTTTTCACATAAGGTGTGAGACCATAGAGAGACCAGTGTGTGTGCGTGTGTGTGTGTGTGTGTGTGTATGTGTGTGTGTATGTGTGTGTGCACTTGTTTTCAACTCCTGGTGGGGTCCATAACCTGAGATTCCGCTCACGTCATGGGGACTGGTTTTACGTGGTGGGGCCCGAACACCGGACCCCACTGGTCCAAGCTTAATAATCAATGGGTAATGCTTTTCTAACGGTCCTTATGCAGTCTCTGTAAAAATATGGAAAGGACCCCTGGAGGTTTACTTTCCTGAAAAAAGTGTGTTATGTGTCGGAACCCTGGTGGTGGGTTGCGGGATATCAAGGAGGGGCACACTGGGGCAATTTCAGTCCAGCAGGCTGGAGCCAATCATGGAGCAGCACAACAGAGGAAATCAGGTGTCAGGCTAGAAAAGGTGCAAGTGTGTGGTTCATTAGGCTGCAGCCAATCACAGAGCAGCATACTGAAGCGCACGCTTACAAACCACTGGTAAGTGCTGACTACAAGTCATGACTTCAAATTGTTATATAGAATGATTACAAATTATTTGTTGTTTGTGCAGCTTAGTCAAGAGTCCCTAATTGATGAAGTCGACTCAGATTCTGACGATTTAACTGTCAAGAAGAAACCTGTAAAAAAGTATGGAAAAAGAAAAATCAAAAACACTTTTCTTCAAGACTCGGAAAGTGACGAACCAAAGGCAAATAAGATTGTTATCATGCAGCTGCAAAAGAAGAAAAATGGGGGGCGAGTTTATAGCAAGAGGCACTTCTGCCTCTACTGTTCAATGTCCTGCCACAAAATGTCCCGTCATTTGACTAGAAAACATGGAAATGAAAGTGACGTAGCCAGAGCATTGGCTCTACCTGTGAAATCTAAAGCACGTAAACTTCAGTTTGATTTGATCAGGAATAGTGGAAACCGTGAGCACAATTTTGAGGTTTTAAAGGCCGGCATTGGAACTTTAGTCCCAGCTAAACAGCCAAATTGCCCAGTTAAATCCAGTGAGTTTTTGCACTGTATAGACTGTGGGGCATTGCTTAAGCGAAAGTCGCTGTGGAGGCATGTGGCCAGGTGCCGGCTTTCACAGAAAGATGCCCAGGCTAAAGGCTAAACCAGGTAGAAGTAGGGTCCAGTCCCTCTGCTCCCTAGCCCAGCCTGTACCGGAGGGCATCAGCAAAAAGCTGTGGTCTTTAATTTCGGCAATGCATCAGGATGAGGTCACGGGTGTTGTCAAAGCAGAAAAGGGGATTCTGAGACTCGGAGAGCACCTGTACTTAAAACACGGGCATGATAAGACTAAGCATGATTACATTAGGCAGAAAATGAGAGAAGTCGGTAGGTTAATTAACGAAGCAAAAACTGCAGGGAAACTGAAAACAATTAAGGATTTCTTTATTCCTTCCAACTTTAACCATGTGATTGATGCAGTCAGGTCTGTGGCTGGATATGATGAGGAAACAAATCAATACAAGACTCCATCCTTGGCCCTCAAACTCGGCCATAGCCTCAGAAAGCTAGCAGATATTCTTGAATGTGACTCAAAAATGGAGCATTGTGTTGATGAACTATTTATTAAAAACCTCCAACGAAGCCGGCTGCTTTTTGAGAAGAGGTGGGACGTCTGTGTTTCTTCTGCTGCCCTACAGACCCTCCGGCAAGCCAAGTGGAACACTCCGGACCTGCTCCCTCTGACTGAGGACGTTAGAGCCATGCATGCACATATTGAGGTATGTCGACCTGAATATGTGCAAACCCTAATAAGTAAGCTTTTTTAGCTTTTATTTATATATACCGCCTTTTCACTGCACATCGGAGTCTCAAAGCGGTTTACAATTGTTGGGTGGGGGTCGCCAGTACAGGAGGCACATGCCAGACCTATTGTACATATTTTAAGTGGTAGGGGAAACCGGAGCACCCGGAGGAAACCTACGCAGACACGGGGAGAACATGCAAACTCCACTCAGAAAGGCCCTGGTCCGACCGGGATTCGAACCCAGGACCTTCTTGCTGAGAGGCGAGAGTGCTATCCACTCAGCCACCGTGCCGCCCATAATAAGTGAGCCAACGTCTAAGCATTGGTCTAAACTGGCAGTTTTGACTCTTTGTGAGGTCATTTTTTTCAATCGAAGAAGGGAAGGTGAGGTTTCAAAGATGCCACTGACAGCCTTTACCTTAAGAAGTAAGACTGGGATCCATTCTGACATTGCTCTGGGACTGTCCCAACTTGAGAAAAAGCTGTGTCAGCATTTTCAACGCATTGAAATTAAAGGGAAAAGAAGTCGGAAAGTGCCGGTTCTTTTGACTCCTGAAATGATTGCTTGGATGGAGGTGCTGGTGGAGAACAGAAAGGCCTGTTCCATCTCTGACCATAACCCATACTTCTTCTCCCGCCCGGGCGCAGACACCCACATCAGGGGATCAGACTCCCTACGGCAGGTAGCCAAAGAATGTGGTGCGGTGCATCCAGAGATGCTATCCTCAACCAAACTTAGAAAGCACATAGCTACTATGTCTACAGTTCTCAATATGAAAGAGAATGAGATGGACATACTTGCCAACTTCCTCGGCCATGACATTCGCATCCACAGGCAATATTACAGACTACCAGAGGGGACACTGGAGCTGGCCAAAATCAGCAAAGTGTTGATGGCCATGGAGCAGGGAAGAGTGACGGAATTCAAAGGAAAGAGCCTCGACCAGATACAAATTGAGCCTGAAGGTAATTCTTGATATTATTAAAATATGTATGATTTTTTTCCCCTAAAGGCCACTTGTATTTTTATTTTCTGTGCGACAGGGAGAGCAGTAGAGATCCTCTCACAAACGGACGGGCTAAAAGAAACTTCAAGCGGAGAACCTTCAACCATTCATCCAGATGCACCCCATGGTAGTGGCAGTGCCCCTTCTGGTAAGTGTACCAGGTGGGGGATTACAGCCAGGCTGCTTGGTCCTAACCCTGGGAGTGTATATTGCTAATATATTTTTATTTCTCTCCCTAGAACGTTAGAGAAAGCCATGGTCTGCATCTGAGGTGAAGGCTGTGGAGAAGACCATGACACCTTTCATACAGACTGGAAAGGTCCCTGGGAAGTCTCACTGCCTGGCCTGCATTAATGCCTCACCAGATGACCTTAGACATCGGACATGGAGTGGCATTAAATTCTATGTCAAAAATAGAATCACTGCAATTCGAAAACAAAATCTAAAATAAAATTCCTTTAAAATAGTTGTTTGGTTTCTATTGACTGTTTTGTATTACTTAAAGTCTTGGTAAAAAAAGATTATGTCTATGGGTCCCATTCTGAACGGCCCTGTCAAAGGGACCCACCAGGTAACAAAAACGTGTATGTGTGTGTGTGCGTGTGTGTGTGTGCGTGTGTGTGTGTGTGTGTGTGTGTGTGTGTTAGAGTCTCCTTGGTGACGCTTATAGTCCAGAAGAACACACAAACTCGTTATGTTCTGGGGCGAGTCAGAACAGGCCTCAGAGGAGAGTGTGTGTCTGCTGGACCGGCACGAGCCACGTCTGCGGAGAGGCAAATCTGTGGACGAGACACAACACTGATACAAACACACACAAATACACGCACACATATACTCATACATACATACCATACACACATGTACAGACACACGCACAAATACACGTACACATTTGCCCACACACACACACACACAAACACACACATACATGCAAATACACACAAAAATACACACACACAGACGTAAACATAGACAAATAAACGCACACCCGCATGCATATAAATACACACATACGCGCACACACACACACACACACTCTCACACGTGTGCATGTAACACCTTCACACACACACACACACACACACACGCACGCACGCATACAGACACACACAATTTCTTTCATATGCACACACGCACACACACACACGCACACACACACACATACACACACACACACACGCACGCATACACGCACACAAACAGACACACACAATTTCTTTCATATACACACACGCACACACACGCACACACACACACACATACACACATACACACACACACACACACACACACACACACACACAAGGCCTACCCTTTCAGAGTCCAGACTGAAAATCTGTGGAAAGGCTGGACAAAACTCCCAGTCTCTAGATGTGCAGAGAATGTAGAGTCCGACCCCCACAGACTTCTGAAAAAGGGGGCTCACAAACTGCCTCAAAAACATCTGTTTTTTCTTATTCTCTGTGACTTTGTGTTCTTAAACAATAAAACACAAGTTGTGTGAGTGCAGTGTGTGACGAAAGCCACAGGGGGCGCTGCGGAGCTGGACAGAGTGCTCCTGTCCTTTCACACAGTGAGGCCCCGTCCCAATACTCGCACTTCCACCCTCGCGCCCCTCATTTGCGCGTTCCCGATAAAGTGTGCGAGTGCGTAGGGTGTCCCAATTCTCCAGGGAGGTCTTTGGCCCCGCCCCCTTTGCGCCCCTGATCCACACTTCGCCGTAGCCTGCATCTATGCACACTCTGGCGAAGGATATTGCCCATAATTCTTTGCGACGGGACACCAAAACGACGGGAAAATGCAATTAAATATACATTTTGAAATATATATGCAGTATGTGTGTAAATAAGTTTTGCTATGTTACTTGGAAAGAAGCATAAACGTCTGATGAAGAATTACGGACATTGTGTTTTAACAATTTAATAACTTTTTAAACCAAGCGTTTCTATAACATTCAATTTAAACTTTACACTTAGTACAATAATCTTAGAATGTATAAAAACTGACCAGATAGTTAGTTACCCACATTTAACTTAAAATTATACCGCTATCTCTAATTAAAAACAACTAATATAAATGTATTATAACGTGTGTGAAGCAATTCATATTGTTTCCCAAAGGGTCAGACAAAATTACCTTTAATTTTTATAAAGTTTAGGTCTTAAAATGACCATCTCTTGACGAGTCGATGACGTAAACTGCACTCAGTGTGCAATGTCCCAATTCCACCTTTTGTGCACGCTTGCAACCTGCGCACTCAAACCCTTGCGCGCACTTCAAACAAATGCACACTTCATAGGAGGGCGTAGGGTGCAGTGTGGGTATTGGGACTGGGCCAGTGAGTGACAGATGTGCGCAGATGTGGATTCTTCTCACTTCCTGTCACAGTGAATTATGGGTAATGCGGTTCACAGTGATGCAGGAATGTACTGTATTATGATCCGTTATTTACTGCAACAAAACTTCTGTCTGCTCAGGCACCTCCTTCTGTCTGCTCAAGGACCTCCTTCTGTCTGCTCAGGCACCTCCTTCTGTCTGCTCAGGCACCTCCTTCTGTCTGCTCAAGAACCTCCTTTTGTCTGCTCAGGCACCTCCTTATGTCTGCTCAAGGACCTCCTTCTGTCTGCTCAGGCACCTCCTTCTGTCTGCTCAGGCACCTCCTTCTGTCTGCTCAGGCGCCTCCTTCTGTCTGCTCAGGCACCTCCTTCTGTCTGCTCAGGCACCTCCTTCTGTCTGCTCAAGGACCTCCTTTTGTCTGCTCAGGCACCTCCTTCTGTCTGCTCAGGCACCTCCTTCTGTCTGCTAAGGACCTCCTTCTGTCTGCTCAGGCACCTCCTTCTGTCTGCTCAGGCACCTCCTTCTGTCTGCTCAGGCACCTCCTTCTGTCTGCTCAGGAACCTCCTTCTGTCTGCTCAAGAACCTCCTTCTGTCTGCTCAAGGATCTCCTTCTGTCTGCTCAGGCACTTTTTTCTGTCTGCTCAGGCACCTCCTTCTGTCTGCTCAGGCACCTCCTTCGGTCTGCTCAGGCACCTCCTTCTGTCTGCTCAGGCACCTCCTTCTGTCTGCTCAGGCACCTCCTTCTGTCTGCTCAGGCGCCTCCTTCTGTCTGCTCAGGCACCTCCTTCTGTCTGCTCAGGCACCTCCTTCTGTCTGCTCAAGGACCTCCTTCTGTCTGCTCAGGCACCTCCTTCTGTCTGCTCAGGCACCTCCTTCTGTCTGCTAAGGACCTCCTTCTGTCTGCTCAGGCACCTCCTTCTGTCTGCTCAGGCACCTCCTTCTGTCTGCTCAGGCACCTCCTTCTGTCTGCTCAGGAACCTCCTTCTGTCTGCTCAAGAACCTCCTTCTGTCTGCTCAAGGATCTCCTTCTGTCTGCTCAGGCACTTTTTTCTGTCTGCTCAGGCACCTCCTTCTGTCTGCTCAGGCACCTCCTTCGGTCTGCTCAGGCACCTCCTTCTGTCTGCTCAGGCACCTCCTTCTGTCTGCTCAGGCACCTCCTTCTGTCTGCTCAGGCACCTCCTTCTGTCTGCTCAGGCGCCTCCTTCTGTCTGCTCAAGGACCTCCTTCTGTCTGCTCAGGCACCTCCTTCTGTCTGCTCAGGCACCTCCTTCTGTCTGCTCAGGCACCTCCTTCTGTCTGCTCAGGAACCTCCTTCTGTCTGCTCAAGAACCTCCTTCTGTCTGCTCAAGGATCTCCTTCTGTCTGCTCAGGAACTTTTTTCTGTCTGCTCAGGCACCTCCTTCTGTCTGCTCAGGCACCTCCTTCGGTCTGCTCAGGCACCTCCTTCTGTCTGCTCAGGCACCTCCTTCTGTCTGCTCAGGCGCCTCCTTCTGTCTGCTCAGGCACCTCCTTCTGTCTGCTCAGGCACCTCCTTCTGTCTGCTCAGGCACCTCCTTCTGTCTGCTCAAGGACCTCCTTCTGTCTGCTCAGGCACCTCCTTCTGTCTGCTCAGGCACCTCCTTCTGTCTGCTCAGGAACCTCCTTCTGTCTGCTCAAGAACCTCCTTCTGTCTGCTCAAGGATCTCCTTCTGTCTGCTCAGGCACCTTTTTCTGTCTGCTCAGGCACCTCCTTCTGTCTGCTCAGGCACCTCCTTCTGTCTGCTCAGGCGCCTCCTTCTGTCTGCTCAGGCACCTCCTTCTGTCTGCTCAGGCACCTCCTTCTGTCTGCTCAAGGACCTCCTTCTGTCTGCTCAGGCACCTCCTTCTGTCTGCTCAGGCACCTCCTTCTGTCTGCTAAGGACCTCCTTCTGTCTGCTCAGGCACCTCCTTCTGTCTGCTCAGGCACCTCCTTCTGTCTGCTCAGGCACCTCCTTCTGTCTGCTCAGGAACCTCCTTCTGTCTGCTCAAGAACCTCCTTCTGTCTGCTCAAGGATCTCCTTCTGTCTGCTCAGGAACTTTTTTCTGTCTGCTCAAGGACCTCCTTCTGTCTGCTCAGGCACCTCCTTCTGTCTGCTCAGGCACCTCCTTCTGTCTGCTCAGGCGCCTCCTTCTGTCTGCTCAGGCACCTCCTTCTGTCTGCTCAGGCACCTCCTTCTGTCTGCTCAAGGACCTCCTTCTGTCTGCTCAGGCACCTCCTTCTGTCTGCTCAGGCACCTCCTTCTGTCTGCTAAGGACCTCCTTCTGTCTGCTCAGGCACCTCCTTCTGTCTGCTCAGGCACCTCCTTCTGTCTGCTCAGGCACCTCCTTCTGTCTGCTCAGGAACCTCCTTCTGTCTGCTCAAGAACCTCCTTCTGTCTGCTCAAGGATCTCCTTCTGTCTGCTCAGGCACTTTTTTCTGTCTGCTCAGGCACCTCCTTCTGTCTGCTCAGGCACCTCCTTCGGTCTGCTCAGGCACCTCCTTCTGTCTGCTCAGGCACCTCCTTCTGTCTGCTCAGGCACCTCCTTCTGTCTGCTCAGGCACCTCCTTCTGTCTGCTCAGGCGCCTCCTTCTGTCTGCTCAAGGACCTCCTTCTGTCTGCTCAGGCACCTCCTTCTGTCTGCTCAGGCACCTCCTTCTGTCTGCTCAGGCACCTCCTTCTGTCTGCTCAGGAACCTCCTTCTGTCTGCTCAAGAACCTCCTTCTGTCTGCTCAAGGATCTCCTTCTGTCTGCTCAGGAACTTTTTTCTGTCTGCTCAGGCACCTCCTTCTGTCTGCTCAGGCACCTCCTTCGGTCTGCTCAGGCACCTCCTTCTGTCTGCTCAGGCACCTCCTTCTGTCTGCTCAGGCGCCTCCTTCTGTCTGCTCAGGCACCTCCTTCTGTCTGCTCAGGCACCTCCTTCTGTCTGCTCAGGCACCTCCTTCTGTCTGCTCAAGGACCTCCTTCTGTCTGCTCAGGCACCTCCTTCTGTCTGCTCAGGCACCTCCTTCTGTCTGCTCAGGAACCTCCTTCTGTCTGCTCAAGAACCTCCTTCTGTCTGCTCAAGGATCTCCTTCTGTCTGCTCAGGCACCTTTTTCTGTCTGCTCAGGCACCTCCTTCTGTCTGCTCAGGCACCTCCTTCTGTCTGCTCAGGCGCCTCCTTCTGTCTGCTCAGGCACCTCCTTCTGTCTGCTCAGGCACCTCCTTCTGTCTGCTCAAGGACCTCCTTCTGTCTGCTCAGGCACCTCCTTCTGTCTGCTCAGGCACCTCCTTCTGTCTGCTAAGGACCTCCTTCTGTCTGCTCAAGCACCTCCTTCTGTCTGCTCAGGCACCTCCTTCTGTCTGCTCAGGCACCTCCTTCTGTCTGCTCAGGAACCTCCTTCTGTCTGCTCAAGAACCTCCTTCTGTCTGCTCAAGGATCTCCTTCTGTCTGCTCAGGCACTTTTTTTCTGTCTGCTCAGGCACCTCCTTCTGTCTGCTCAGGCACCTCCTTCGGTCTGCTCAGGCACCTCCTTCTGTCTGCTCAGGAACCTCCTTCTGTCTGCTCAGGCACCTCCTTCTGTCTGCTCAGGCACCTCCTTCTGTCTGCTCAGGCACCTCCTTCTGTCTGCTCAAGGACCTCCTTCTGTCTGCTCAGGCACCTCCTTCTGTCTGCTCAGGCACCTCCTTCTGTCTGCTCAGGCACCTCCTTCTGTCTGCTCAGGAACCTCCTTCTGTCTGCTCAAGAACCTCCTTCTGTCTGCTCAAGGATCTCCTTCTGTCTGCTCAGGAACTTTTTTCTGTCTGCTCAGGCACCTCCTTCTGTCTGCTCAGGCACCTCCTTCGGTCTGCTCAGGCACCTCCTTCTGTCTGCTCAGGCACCTCCTACTGTCTGCTCAGGCGCCTCCTTCTGTCTGCTCGGGCACCTCCTTCTGTCTGCTCAGGCACCTCCTTCTGTCTGCTCAGGCACCTTCTTCTGTCTGCTCAGGCCCCTCCTTCTGTCTGCTCAGGCACCTCCTTCCTCCTTCTGTCCATGTGTATTTCTCTGTGTGTGTGTGTGATGATGACAGATTAGAGCCCTTTAATGATGACAGATTATGGCCCTTTAATGATGACAGATTAAGCCCTGTGCCATTTAATGATGACAGATTAGGGCCCTTTAATGATGACAGATTAGAGCCCTTTAATGGTGACAGATTAGAGCCCTTTAATGGTGACAGATTAGGGCCCTTTAATGATGACAGATTAGAGCCCTTTAATGATGACAGATTAGGGCCCTTTAATGATGACAGATTAGGGCCCTTTAAAAAACCCTAAAAGGATTTTCTACTATAGAAGAGTATGACCAGAGAGTTTATAGGAAAGGTCAGTTCTTTCCTAAAATGTGTGAAAATCCTCCTAGCTACATTTAGAAACAGAAAAAGTCACAGTTATGAAGACTAAAAACGTGCACAAGTGGACTAGTTAGACTTTCAAAACAAAAACCAGTCAACATGACTGCTGCAGGAGTCCTGGTGGTAAACTTCTCAGGTGGACCCGTCTGTCCCCGTCCCCGCCCATGAGCGCTGATTGGCCCGGGCCCCTGTGCGCCTGTCCTGGTGCGGTGTGTGGAGCTCTCAGTCAGAGCGCGGAGCCTGGAGCCGTGAAGCCGCACGCAGAACGCGTCCCCGGCTGCAGACTTCCTCCTGATCCGCGGGCGTCTACCGGAGCTCCTCCCGCGGGGTTCACGGTGGACTGTCCCCGGCACAATGTGGACTTACTTTGGGAATAACGGTTTCTCTCTCGCGGTGCTGGTGCTTTCAGTGTGCGCGCAGGTGAGTGGCACTTTACGCACGAGACTGAACGAGAGATTAAAACTGGGTTCGTGAGGATAACAGTATACATTAGTTTATATAACAGTATACATTAGTTTATATAACAGTATACATTAGTATATATAACAGTATACATTAGTTTATATAACAGTATACATGTGTATAACAGTATACATTAGTTTATATAAGTATACATTAGTTTATATAAAAGTATACATTAGTTCATATAACAGTATGCATGTGTATAACAGTATACATTAGTTTATATAACAGTATGCATGTGTATAACAGTCTGCAGTATATATTAGTTTATATAATATTATACATTTGTAAATAACCTTATACATGTGTGTATAACAGTATACATGTGTGTATAACAGTATACATGTGTGTATAACAGTATACATGTGTGTATAACAGTATACTTGTGTGTATAACAGTATACGTGTGTGTATAACAGTATACTTGTGTGTATAACAGTATACGTGTGTGTATAACAGTATACTTGTGTGTATAACAGTATACGTGTGTGTATAACAGTATACTTAACAGTATACTTGTGTGTATAACAGTATACTTGTGTGTATAACAGCTGTGGCTCGTGCTCTGTGTGGTGCCTACAAACGGCTGTCGCCTGATTGGATAATAAATAATAATACAATTAAAAATAATAAAAATAATAATAATAATGTGTTTTCTTTTCGTTTGATGTTGTCTGTAAACCTCTGATGAGTTGTTAAAGCTGCAGTGTGTGAACGCTGCTTTCTCGGATTTTACTGTCAGAAAAATCTCATTAGCAACCGTTGCTATGGCCAAAATGAAGACGCAGACGTAGAGGAGAAACAGCTGACAGTGGTCCTTTAAGTCACTGTTTGTGCTCAGAGCTGTGTTGCTATGGCGACAGGTGCAGTGGTAGCGAACCTGTGATCTCACATGAGGTTTAACACTAGGACTCCCACAGCAGTCAATTTGACGGCTTTTCCTTTTGGAAGTGTGACCGATTATTGACTCCGTTACTTTTTCTGTCTCTAAATGCAGATTTGTTCTAGGTCATTTAGTTTAAGAAATTTAGACTTGTTCTGGACTGGTCCTGGACCGGTCTTAGACTGGTTCTGGACTGGTCTTAGACTGATCTTAGACTGGTCTTAGACAGGTCTTGGACTGGTCCTGGACTGGTCTTAGACTGGTCTTAGACTGGTCTTAGACAGGTCCTGGACTGGGCATACGTATGCCGCTTTTCCACAGTAATGGTACGGTACGGCACGGTACGGCACGGCACGGCGTGATTATTTTGCATTCCCACTAGGGTTGGGCTTGGGATAAGGGTACTTTTTTTGTACCACCTCGACAGTGGTTCCTATGGAGCTATTATTGTTTCAATAATATTTGTGTGTGCGTAAAAAGATTTGTGCGTGCGTAACCAGATTTGTGTGTGCGTACCCAGATTTGTGTGTGCGTAACCAGATTTGTGCGTGCGTAACCAGATTTGTGTGTGTGTAAAAGAAATATTTGTGCGTGTGTAAATAGATTTGTATGTACGTATCAAGATTTGTGTGTGCGTAAAAAGATTTGTGTGTGCGTAAAAAGATTTGTGTGTGCGTAGAAAGATTTGTGTGTGTGTAAAGAAAAAAAAAGTACGTTTTACACACAAGTTTTTTTTTTACACACGAATCTTTTGACGCAGTCCTGCCTTCGCAGATTCGCAAGTGTAACTTGGACTGTGTGCGTGCGTAAACAGATTTGTGTGTGTGTAATTTGACATTTGTATCTGTAGCAGAACAATCTGTGTGTAAATAACCGCGTTGTACAAAGAGAAGAACGAAAAAAGCCTAAGTGCTACGCACAGGCTCTGTTTTACACACAAATCTCTTTTTGACACACCTCTGCCGCCAAGCGTGTGTCAAAAAGATTTGTAAGTGTAATGTGGTTGTTCTAGCAGTACACCAGCAGATGGTGCTGTTGTAGCTGGTTATTACCTACACGCAAGCAAACCAAAACCTACTGCCTTGACAAGACACACTACCGCAGCTGTTTATGATATTTTTTTCCTATTTTCAAAATCCTGTCATTCACACCACTGTATGATACATGGATCTATTATAATAACTGGATAGGGTGTTACTAGCTTGGAGCTGAAGGATTCTCGCGTACTGCAGACTAAATTCACGTTGGCTACACAGAAATTTTCCCCATAGAACTCAAAGTAAACTAAAACAGCTGACAGATAACCTACAGCTTTCATAAAGGTCGGATTTTGTGGGAATTTTAGTGTTCCTTGTCATCCTGAACTTTTCTTCTTCTTAAATCCTTCGGTTTTCTCTATCTACACTATAGTGCCACAAACTCAGCTGGTTTGCTTGCGTGTAGGTAATAACCAGCTACAACAGCACCATCTGCTGGTGTACTGCTAGAACAACCACATTACACTTACAAATCTTTTTGACACACGCTTGGCGGCAGAGGTGTGTCAAAAAGAGATTCGTGTGTAAAACAGAGCCTGTGCGTAGCACTTAGGCTTTTTTCCCGTTCTTCTCTTTGTACAACGCGGTTATTTACACACAGATTGTTCTGCTACAGATACAAATGTCAAATTACACACACACAAATCTGTTTACGCACGCACACAGTCCAAGTTACACTTGCGAATCTGCGAAGGCAGGACTGCGTCAAAAGATTCGTGTGTAAAAAAAAAACTTGTGTGTAAAACGTACTTTTTTTTTCTTTACACACACACAAATCTTTCTACGCACACACAAATCTTTTTACGCACACACAAATCTTGATACGTACATACAAATCTATTTACACACGCACAAATATTTCTTTTACACACACACAAATCTGGTTACGCACGCACAAATCTGGTTACGCACACACAAATCTGGTTACGCACGTACAAATCTGGTTACGCACACACAAATTTTTTTACGCACACACAAATATTATTGAAACAATAATAGCTCCAGAGTTCCAAGCACACCGAAGCAATACCATGACGTGACGTCAGTTGACAGCCTTACACTGATTGGTCAACGCGTGTCGTCACTGGAAGCGACGTCCGACCCTTTGGTAAAAACAACTCGCCATCTTTAAAGCCGGCTGCTCTGCAATAACCATGGATCTATAATAGGCTATAATAAGTCCTCGTCCTCCAGAGAAATGGAATTGCACAGAAATCCCCAAACAGCCCTGGTCAGTCGCCGAGGTCCAATGTTTTCAGGGAGATGGCTCTGGATTTGTGACTAGTCTGTGGTAATCCTGAAATAACTGTCAGCTACGAATCCAGTTAAAGCTCTCACTGAAATGTATTCACTGTGTAAAAGTTCGATTGCCTGTTGTACACAGTGAGCTAGCTACATTAGCTATCGATAGCAAGCTAAGCTAACGTCCTTCTACTGGGCTGTATTTTGCTCTTTCACATGTTTCTGTTTTGTGCTTGTATTTAAGTTGTTGTGTGTATAGTAAGTAAGTAAGCTTTTATTTATATACCGCCTTTTCACTGCACATCGGAGTCTCAAAGCGGTTTACAATTGTTGGGTGGGGGTGCCAGTACAGGAGGCACATGCCATACCTATTGTACATATTTTTAGTGGTAGGGGAAACCGGAGCACCCGGAGGAAACCTACGCAGACACGGGGAGAACATGCAAACTCCACTCAGAAAGGCCCTAGTCCAACCGGGATTCGAACCCAGGACCTTCTTGCTGAGAGGCGAGAGTGCTATCCACTCAGCCACTTGTTTGAGAATCCCTTCCCACAAGTGAGGAGATTATAACGAGCAGTGAGTGACGGGAGTACTTCACTTTCTCCTCATCTGGACCTGGTCTCAGACATACTTTGTAAACTGTTGGTTTTTGCACTTTACTTTTGTTTTTGATAAATGTGTGACTGTATCAGGACTTTTTTCATTCATTTGTCTGAACACGTGCAGCAAAGGGCTTCAAAAGCAAAAGTTACGATTTCCTCCATATACTTTTTTCAAGTTGATACTTAGCTGTTTGAAATAAATGTATGTTGTAAATCTAAGTTATGTATTGAACTCAAAATAAAAACTTTTTATTTCATTTCAAATGACAGAAAGTGACGCATCAGACCAATGTTACTAGTTACACGTAAATGATGTGGTCTGACAACCCTCCCACGCTGAGGAGATACTTTGGAGGTACCATTTTTAATGGAAAAGCACCCACACTTGGCCGTGCTGTGCCGTGCCGTACTCTGACTATGGAAATGCGGCATTAGACAGGTCCTGGACTGGTCTTAGACTGGTCCTAAACTGGTCTGGTCCTTGACTGGTCTTAGACAGGTCCTGGACTGGTCTTAGACTGGTCCTGGACTGGTAGACTGGTGGTACATGGAAACTGGGAAACCCAGTGGGAGAAAAGTGAGAAACTCATCAGGGAGAGCCACATTAACTCATTGACTGCCATTGACGTATTTGTCTGAGACCGGTGATTTCTGTTAAACTTCCCGCTATTTGACTGGGGATTACAGGACAACACAAAATAGCTAGAAACAAACTTATTTTTGCTGATGAAAGTAGACAACCCAGTCTTTCACAATTTGGTTTCATATTTTCACATAGTCATAGCACATCATATTCTGTGGGTCTTGAGAATCAGTGAAATCATCAAAAACGGCTGGCAGTCCATGAGTTAAGGAATGGATCCGCTCCACACAGACGGCTGTAGATCCAGGACTGAGGCAGCTCCCAGAAGGAGAGGGGGACCACAGGTGCAGATAGAAGAGGGGTTCCATCATCACACCATGAAACTGACGATAAGACAGCAGGTGAATAGCAATGAACAGACTGAGTCTTACCTCCCTAACCATGTGCTGAATTGAAGAAGAGTGCTGAAGCCTGGCCTTGAATGTGGAGACCGTATCTGCTTCCTCAACATGAATGGGAAGCTGATTCCACAGTAAATGAGCTTGGAGCTAAATGTTCTGCCGCCAACAGTGCTTTTGGAGGCCTTAGGAACCACCAGACGTCTGGCGTTGAGCACAATGCTCGGTTTGGTTGATATGACATTAACGTGTCTTAGAGTTATGTGCGCCCTCTTTTTGGTTCCTGTTAAGATCCTTGCTGTTGTATTTTGAACGAACTGCAAGCTCTTCAAAGAGGTTTTAGGGCCTCTGCCAGCAAAGCGTTACAGTAGTCAAGTCTTGACCTATGAGGTGGTGATGGGGAGGAGGAGGGTTGCTGCATGAATGAAAGCATCCTGTGAGAACCTTTGCTTTTTTCTGCATACGGCACAAATCCTTGTGTTCTCAACATTGCAAATCTCTACAGCCTTTAGGAGCAAAGAAAAGTCCCTGTCTTGACTTTCTCTCTCTCTCTCCTCTCCCTTTCTCCTCTCTCTTCTCTCCTCTCTCTCCTCTCTGCTCTCTCTCCTCTCTCTCTCTCCTCTCCCTCTCCTATCTCTCCTCTCTGTCCATTCCCTCTCTCTCCTCTCAATCTCTCTCTTCTCTCTCTTCTCTCTCCTCTCTCTCCTCTCCTCTCTCTCCTCTCATCTCTCCTCTCTCTCCTCTCCTTCTCTCCTCTCTCTCGGTGCACTCATACCTCTGCCCTCTCCTCCAGGTCTGTGACTCCTCTGGCTTTGTGGAGGTGTATGTCGCCTCGGTGCAGAACCCGTCGGGGGTGCTCCTTAGTGGGCAGTGCTGTGACCCGCCTTACCCCGGCCCTGGTCCTGGTCCTGGTCCTGCCTCTGGGGGTCGTTGTGGAGGCTCGGAGTGCGACACGTACCTCCGGGTGTGTCTGAAGGAGTACCAGGTGGAGGTGTCGCTCCGCGGAGCATGTACCTACGGCAGCCGCAGCACCCAGGTCCTGGGAGGAAACAGCTTCAGCCCCAGAGTGCGCATCACTGTCCCCTTCAGCTTCTCCTGGCCGGTGAGTCCCTGCAGCGCCCCCTGCTGCCCATCACTGTTCAAGCAGTTCTGGTTCAATAGTTTCTCAAATCGATCGTTGGCAGAAGTTTGAGCAGCAAAATACACACCCGGTATATACATGTATGAGAGACCAGAGAGAGAGAAACCAGAGAAAGAGAGACCAGAGTGAGACCAGACACCAGAGTGAGACCAGAGAGAGACTGGAGACCAGAGAGAGAGACCATAGAGAGAGAGAGACCAGAGAGAGACCAAAGATAATGTTGTTGGAATATACGTACAGGGCCTTGCGAAAGTATACCTTTCAACATTTCGCCACATTTCAGGCTTCAAACATAAAGATATAAAATTGTAATTTTTTGTTATGAATCAACAACAAGTGGGACACAATCATGAGGTGGAACAAAATGTATTGGATAATTTCAACTTTTTGAAAAAATAAAAAACTGAAAAGTAGGGCGTGCAATATTATTCGGCCCCTTTACTTTCAGTGCAGCAAACTCAGTCCAGAAGTTCAGTGAGGATCTTTGAATGATCCAATGTTGTCCTAAATGACTGATGATGATAAATAGAATGCACCTGTGTGTAATCAAGTCTCCGTATAAATGCACCTGCTCTTTGATAGTCTCAGGGTTCTGTTTAAAGCGCAGAGAGAACCATGAAGACAAAGGAACACACCAGGCAGGTCCGAGATACTCTTGTGGAGAAGTTTAAAGCCGGATTTGGATACAAAAAGATTTCCCAAGCTTTAAATATCTCAAGGAGCACTGTGCAAGCAATTATAATGAAATGGAAGGAGTATCAGACCACTGCAAATCTACCAAGACCCGGCCGTCCCTCCAAACTTTCATCTCAAACAAGGAGAAGACTGATCAGAGATGCAGCGAAGAGGCCCATGATCACTCTGGATGAACTGCAGATAACTACAGCTGAGGTGGGACAGTCTGTCCATAGGACAACAATCAGTCGTGCACTGCACAAATCTGGCCTTTATGGAAGGTGGCAAGAAGAAAGCCATTTCTCAAAGATATCCATAAAAAGTCTCGTTTAAAGTTTGCCACAAGCCACCTGGGAGACACACCAAACATGTGGAAGAAGGTGCTCTGGTCAGATGAAACCAAAATCGAACTTTTTGGCCACAATGCAAAACGATATGTTTGGCGTAAAAGCAACACAGCTCATCACCCTGAACACACCATCCCCACTGTCAAACATGGTGGTGGCAGCATCATGGTTTGGGCCTGCTTTTCTTCAGCAGGGACAGGGAAGATGGCTAAAATTGATGGGAAGATGGATGGAGCCAAATACAGGACCATTCTGGAAAAAAACCTGTTGGAGTCTGCAAAAGACCTGAGACTGGGACGGAGATGTATCTTCCAACAGGACAATTATCCAAAACATAAAGCCAAATCTACAATGGAATGGTTCACAAATAGACGTATCCAGGTGTTAGAATGGCCAAGTCAAAGTCCAGACCTGAATCCAATCCAGAATCTGTGGAAAGAGCTGAAGACTGCTGTTCACAAACGCTCTCCATCCAACCTCACTGCGCTCGAGCTGTTTTGCAAGGAAGAATGGGCAAGAATTCCAGTCTCTCGATGTGCAAAACTGATAGAGACATACTCCAAGCGACTTGCAGCTGTAATTGCAGCAAAACGTGGCGCTACAAAGTATTAGCGCAAGGGGGCCGAATAATATTGCACGCCCCACTTTTCAGTTTTTTATTTGTTAAAAAAGTTTAAATTATCCAATAAATTTCGTTCCACTTCACGATTGTGTTCCACTTGTTGTTGATTCTTGACAAAAAAATTAATTTTTATATCTTTATGTTTGAAGCCTGAAATGTGGCAAAATGTTGAAAGGTTCAAGGGGGCCGAATACTTTCGCAAGGTAGTACTGTATATTGCAGGGGTTGCCAACCCGCGGCTCGTGAGTCGCATGCGGCTCTTTGGCTGGTTCCGTGCGGCTCTCGGGCTTTAACGCGACAAGGGTCAAAAATGCCTCGGTGGTGGCGCTGCCTTTCATTCCCTCTGTAGTTCTGACCCATAGTAAAGGCCGTCTTCACTCCACTAGCCGGGCCGTGTATATACCAAAACAATCTGACGTCAGCGAACGTCAATTCTGATTGGTCAGATGCGCTGTCAATCACTCTGCAGCTGCTGCCTCAGCTGTTGCGAATATCAAAACAAAACACACGTTGCTTCGACCCATGACGTCCGTACAACAATGAGGGTCGCTGGATGAGGGCAACACCTTCCTCAGTTTGAGGAGAAGACACCAGCGTGAGCTCGATGGTTTTACCAGAAACCAGAAGGTGTTTGTGGAGCTAGCACTAAGGACGGAGCAGAATGATTCCCACGAACATCACAATGCAGAGAAAAGTTAAAAAGCTTAAAAGTGACAACCGTGAAATGAAAGATCACAGCAGCAGAAGAAGAGGCAGAACCGAAAAGTCTGGAGGTGGTTTGACCAAATGGATTAAATTTACGGCTAACACCGGCTAACATGCTAAAACCAGCTAGCACCAGCTACACCAGGAGATAAGCCAACTCTGCCTGGTGAGTGTCTGTCTTCAATCAAATACAAAAGTATCTGGTGGTTCTAAATCAGCTAAAGTGGTGTTGGTGTTATGTGTCAAATCTATATCTTTTACTAGACGCAGTCAGAGTGAATCATGGTTCAATAAAGACAGTTGTGTTTCTGCTGAACACTGGGTTGAAACTCCATTTTTTTTCTTGGTTAGAGATTGAAAGCATTCATTTCGGAATCATGATTGATGTTCGCTGACGTCAGATTGTTAGAACCAGGGCCAAACCATTAATAAAAAGTACCGGGGAGCGGCTAAAGCGAGCGGTGGAAGCGCCCGCAAACCGGGGAGAGTCGAGTCCAGACCTTTAGTACTGTACGAGTCAATTTCTGTCATTATCGTGTTGATGACATTTACAATAAACCTGTCTGAGCAGAGGTGTGTGTGTGTGTGCGCATGTGCGTACGTGCGCGCATACGTGCGTGTGTAAGGGATGGGGTGATGTTTATGTAGTGCACGTTTGTATGATGTGGCTCTTTGCTGTAACACAGTAAAAAATTGGCTCTTAGTCTCTGACTGGTTGGCCACCCCTGGTATATTGTGTGAAAGAGGTTTAAAGGTAAAGCGTGTTGTAGCCCGAGACCATGTGCAGTCTGTGAGAAGTGTTTACAAACTGGTTCTTCTGACGCCGGCCGCCAGCTGCTGATTAAGAAAAGCAGGTAACTCATTATCAAATCTGACAGAGCCGTTAGGCAATCACGAGCTGAGTTTGAGCCTGGGAAGCGGCGTGGGCCAATGGGAGGCGTGGGAACCGGGAGAGAGTGGAAAAGGCTCCGGGAGAAAAGGTGACGAGCTCTGAGAGACTCTGGGTCAGAGCACGCTTCTCTCTCATCACTGACTGATTACAACTTCAGGAACGTCCCTCACACACATGCAAGGAAGATCTGTCAGATCTCTGAAGCTAAGCAGGTCAGGGCCTGGTTATTTCTGTGATAGGAGACCTCTGGGAACAGCAGGTGCCACAGTGGGGTGGCTGTGGCTGTAAAGTGCCAAAGTGTGGTTGTGTCCTTAGGCAAGACACTTCCCCCACATTAGAATGAGTCTGGTGTGTGTGTGTGTGGTTGGTGGTGGGAGGGGCCGATGGCAAAGACTGTTTGCTTTGCTTCTGTCGGTGTGCCCCAGGGCAGCTGTGGCTACAGTAGTAGTGTGGAGTGAAAGAATAATGATGTGAAGGGACTTTGAGAGTCTAGAAAGAATTTTATCAAAGGGATGCTTTATTATTAAAACACTAAATCCACATGTGTCCAACAGAACAGACACAGATTCTTTTGGGTTGAGACTGTTGTACGTACAGCATTTGTGATATTTACACTAGTCTTATACGTATGACCAGAGGCGTCCCGTGCCAACAGGCAAGGCAGGCAGCTGCCTGGGGCCCCCCAAACCGGCAGGGGCCCCCCGAGGGCCAACTGATTTGACACAAGCGGTCGACTTGTACAGGCTACAACAGCTACCTGAGTTGGCGTCACTGATGCAAAACTTGCCACATTCTTCATTAACATTTATTCTCTGTATTGAATGTAATAGTGGTCTAGAGCAGTGTTTTGGATTAAACTAAATGTCATGTTATATGACAGATTGCTCAAGAACTTAAATAGGTTAAAACAAGCTGTTTTTTGCAGATTAAAGATAAGAGCCTAATCTTTAATCTAGACTATATAAACACTGAGGGCCAAATTAAAGATTAGATTTTGTAGTAGGGCTGGGCGACAAAACAATAACGATAACGATTGCGATAGACTCGTATTCGAAATAGATAGATAGATAGATATTATTTATTTCAAAACCTGCACAAACATCATCATCTCAAAAATCAACATAACAGACAAATATACAGGTGTCAGAATATCAAAAATCAGAATGTTTGATAGTTTAACTTCGCTCAGCTAGAAAAAAACAGGAAGAAAACACAGGAAGTAAAGCCGAGTCAGAAGCGCGCGGCATTCTGGGGGATGTAGGCAGAGACTTCTCGACATATCACAGCCAATCATGGACTGCAAAACATTGTGGGAAATGCAAAAACAAAACCCTCACCATGCGTAGAGTCCATGGATCTATGAATTGTGTTTCAGTGCCGTGTCAATAGTTATGCATGTCCGTTCGAGGAACAGCATGTGCGGCGCGTTAGAGGCAGTGGACACAGAGACCCGATGCATTCGCCGAAAGCAAGAGATTAACTTTTTCCTCGGGAAGCACAGCCACACGGAGCCGTCACAGGGACACAAGACACTCGAAAACAGCCAAAACCGGAGCTTAACCAGGATTAAACCAGGATTAAACCAGGACTAAACCAGGACTAACAATGACACATATTCCTCGAGCCTCATTCCCCCGTGACTGTAAACAAGGCTGCTAATGTGTGTTAGCCGACACAACAAATGTATTAATTTAGGTGTAGATAAAAAAATAAAACAATATCAAAATATATTGTTATCAATCGATATAAATTACTTATATTGTGATATAGTTTTCAGCCGTATCGCCCAGCCCTATTTTGTAGGATTAATACACTTTGATAGGTATGTGTGACGGACTGTGACGGACTGTGACGGACGTGTGACGAACGTGTGACGAACGTGTGACGGACGTGACGGAGGTGTGACGGAGGTGTGACGGAGGTGTGACGGACTGTGACGGACTGTGACGGACGTGTGACGGACGTGTGACTGACGTGTGACTGATGTATGACGGACGTGTGACGGACGTGTGACAGACGTGTGACGGACGTGTGACGGACGTGTGACGGACGTATGACGGACGTGTGACGGACGTGTGACGGACGTGTGACGGACGTGTGACGGACGTGTGACGGACGGGTGACTGACGTATGACGGACGTGTGACTGACGTGTGATGGACGGGTGATTGACGTGTGACCGATGTGTGACAGGTGACGGACATGTTACGGACGTGTGACGGACGTGTTACGGACGTGTGACGGACATGTTACGGACGTGTGACGGACGTGTTACGGACGTGTTACGGACGTATGACGGACGTGTGACGGACGTGTGACGGACGTATGACGGACGTTTGACGGACGTGTGACGGACATTTGACAGACGTATGACGGACGTGTGACGGACGTGTGACAGACGTGTGACAGACGTGTGACGGACGTTTTACGGACGTGTGACGGACGTGTGATTGACGTGTGACGGACGTGTGACGGACGTGTTACGGACGTGTGACAGACGTGTGACAGACGTGTGATGGACGTGTGACGGACGTATGACGGACGTATGACGGACGTGTGACAGACGTGTTACGGACGTGTGACAGACGTGTGACGGACGTATGACGGACGTGTGACGGACGTATGACGGACGTGTGACAGACGTGTTACGGACGTGTGACTGACGTATGACAGACGTGTGACTGACGTATGACGGATGTATGACGGACGAGTGACAGACGTGTGACGGACGGGTGACTGACGTATGACGGACGTGTGACTGACGTATGACAGACGTGTGACTGACGTATGACGGATGTATGACGGACGAGTGACAGACGTGTGACGGACGGGTGACTGACGTTTGACTGACGTATGACGGATGTATGACGGACGTGTGACAGACGTGTGACGGACGGGTGACTGACGTATGACGGACGTGTGACTGACGTATGACAGACGTGTGACTGACGTATGACTGACGTATGACAGACGTGTGACTGACGTATGACGGACGTGTGACTGACGTATGACGGACGTGTGACTGACGTATGACGGACGTGTGACTGACGTGTGACTGACGTATGACGGACGTGTGACTGACGTGTGACTGACGTGTGACTGACGTATGACGGACGTATGACAGACGTATGACAGACGTATGACGGACGTGTGACGGACGTATGACGGACGTGTGATTGACATGTGACAGACGTGTGACGGACGTGTGACGGACGTGTGACGAACGTATAACGGAGGTATGACGGACGTGTGTCGGACGTATGACGGACGTGTGACGGACATGTGACGGACGTGTGACGGACGTGTGACGGACGTATAACGGAGGTATGACGGACGTGTGACAGACGTTTTGACGGACGTGTGACGGACGTGTGACGGACGTGTGGCGGACGTGTGACGGACGTCTGACGGACGTGTGACGGACGTGTGATGGACTGTGACGGACAATTGACGGACGTGTGACGGACGTGTGACGGACGTGTGACGGACGTGTGACGGACGTGTGACGGACGTGTGACGGACGTATGACGGACGTGTGACGGACGTTTGACGGACGTGTGACGGACGTGTGACAGACGTGTGACGAACGTGTTACGGACGTGTGACGGACTGTGACGGACGTATGACGGACGTGTGACAGACGTGTGACGGACGTGTGACTGACGTGTGACGGACGTGTGATTGACATGTGACAGACGTGTGACTGACGTGTGACGGACGTATGACGGACGTGTGATCGACGTGTGACTGACGTGTGACGGACGTGTGACGGACTGTGACGGACGTATGACGGACGTGTGACAGACGTGTGACGGACGTGTGACTGACGTGTGACGGACATGTGATTGACGTGTGACAGACGTGTGACTGACGTGTGTGACGGACGTATGACGGACGTGTGACGGACGTATGACGGACGTGTGATCGACGTGTGACTGACGTGTGACTGACGTGTGACGGACGTATGACGGACGTGTGACGGACGTGTGACGGACGTGTGATCGACGTGTGATTGACGTGTGACAGACGTGTGACTGACGTGTGACGGACGTGTGACTGACGTGTGACAGACGTGTGACTGACGTGTGACTGACGTGTGACGGACGTATGACGGACGTGTGACGGACGTGTGACGGACGTGTGACGGACGTGTGATCGACGTGTGACTGACGTGTGACGGACGTGTGACAGACGTGTGACGGACGTGTGATTGACGTGTGACGGACGTGTGACGGACGTGTGACAGACGTGTGACGGACGTGTGACGGACGTGTGACGGACGTATGACGGACGTGTGACGGACGTGTGACGGACGTGTGACAGACGTGTGACGGACGTGTGACAGACGTGTGACGGACGTGTGATGGACGGGTGATTGACGTGTGACCGATGTGTGACAGACGTGTGACGGACGTGTGACGGACGTGTGACGGACGTGTGACGGACGTGTTACGGACGTGTGACGGACATGTTACGGACGTGTGACGGACGTGTTACGGACGTGTGACGGACGTATGACGGACGTGTGACGGACGTATGACGGACGTTTGACGGACGTGTGACGGACATTTGACAGACGTATGACGGACGTGTGACGGACGTGTGACAGACGTGTGACAGACGTGTGACGGACGTTTTACGGACGTGTGACAGACGTGTGACGGACGTGTGACGGACGTGTTACGGACGTGTGACAGACGTGTGACAGACGTGTGATGGACGTGTGACGGACGTATGACGGACGTATGACGGACGTGTGACAGACGTGTTACGGACGTGTGACAGACGTGTGACGGACGTATGACGGACGTGTGACGGACGTGTGACAGACGTATGACGGACGTGTGACAGACGTGTTACGGACGTGTGACTGACGTATGACAGACGTGTGACTGACGTATGACGGATGTATGACGGACGAGTGACAGACGTGTGACGGACGGGTGACTGACGTATGACGGACGTGTGACTGACGTATGACAGACGTGTGACTGACGTATGACGAATGTATGACGGACGAGTGACAGACGTGTGACGGACGGGTGACTGACGTATGACTGACGGATGTATGACGGACGTGTGACAGACGTGTGACGGACGGGTGACTGACGTATGACGGACGTGTGACTGACGTATGACAGACGTGTGACTGACGTATGACTGACGTATGACAGACGTGTGACTGACGTATGACGGACGTGTGACTGACGTATGACGGACGTGTGACTGACGTATGACGGACGTGTGACTGACGTGTGACTGACGTATGACGGACGTGTGACTGACGTGTGACTGACGTGTGACTGACGTATGACGGACGTATGACAGACGTATGACAGACGTATGACGGACGTGTGACGGACGTATGACGGACGTGTGATTGACAGGTGACAGACGTGTGACGGACGTGTGACGGACGTGTGACGAACGTATAACGGAGGTATGACGGACGTGTGTCGGACGTATGACGGACGTGTGACGGACGTGTGACGGACGTGTGACGGACGTGTGACGGACGTATGACGGACGTATGACGGACGTGTGACAGACGTGTTACGGACGTGTGACAGACGTGTGACGGACGTATGACGGACGTGTGACGAACGTATGACGGACGTGTGACAGACGTGTTACGGACGTGTGACTGACGTATGACAGACGTGTGACTGACGTATGACGGATGTATGACGGACGAGTGACAGACGTGTGACGGACGGGTGACTGACGTATGACGGACGTGTGACTGACGTATGACAGACGTGTGACTGACGTATGACGGATGTATGACGGACGAGTGACAGACGTGTGACGGACGGGTGACTGACGTATGACTGACGTATGACGGATGTATGACGGACGTGTGACAGACGTGTGACGGACGGGTGACTGACGTATGACGGACGTGTGACTGACGTATGACAGACGTGTGACTGACGTATGACTGACGTATGACAGACGTGTGACTGACGTATGACGGACGTGTGACTGACGTATGACGGACGTGTGACTGACGTATGACGGACGTGTGACTGACGTGTGACTGACGTATGACGGACGTGTGACTGACGTGTGACTGACGTGTGACTGACGTATGACGGACGTATGACAGACGTATGACAGACGTATGACGGACGTGTGACGGACGTATGACGGACGTGTGATTGACATGTGACAGACGTGTGACGGACGTGTGACGGACGTGTGACGAACGTATAACGGAGGTATGACGGACGTGTGTCGGACGTATGACGGACGTGTGACGGACATGTGACGGACGTGTGACGGACGTGTGACGGACGTATAACGGAGGTATGACGGACGTGTGACAGACGTTTGACGGACGTGTGACGGACGTGTGACGGACGTGTGACGGACGTGTGACGGACGTCTGACGGACGTGTGACGGACGTGTGATGGACTGTGACGGACAATTGACGGACGACGTGTGACGGACGTGTGACGGACGTGTGACGGACGTGTGACGGACGTGTGACGGACGTGTGACGGACGTATGACGGACGTGTGACGGACGTTTGACGGACGTGTGACGGACGTGTGACAGACGTGTGACGAACGTGTTACGGACGTGTGTGACGGACTGTGACGGACGTATGACGGACGTGTGACAGACGTGTGACGGACGTGTGACTGACGTGTGACGGACGTGTGATTGACATGTGACAGACGTGTGACTGACGTGTGACGGACGTATGACGGACGTATGACGGACGTGTGATCGACGTGTGACTGACGTGTGACGGACGTGTGACGGACTGTGACGGACGTATGACGGACGTGTGACAGACGTGTGACGGACGTGTGACTGACGTGTGACGGACATGTGATTGACGTGTGACAGACGTGTGACTGACGTGTGACGGACGTATGACGGACGTGTGACGGACGTATGACGGACGTGTGATCGACGTGTGACTGACGTGTGACTGACGTGTGACGGACGTATGACGGACGTGTGACGGACGTGTGACGGACGTGTGATCGACGTGTGATTGACGTGTGACAGACGTGTGACTGACGTGTGACGGACGTGTGACTGACGTGTGACAGACGTGTGACTGACGTGTGACTGACGTGTGACGGACGTATGACGGACGTGTGACGGACGTGTGACGGACGTGTGACGGACGTGTGATCGACGTGTGACTGACGTGTGACGGACGTGTGACAGACGTGTGACGGACGTGTGATTGACGTGTGACGGACGTGTGACGGACGTGTGACAGACGTGTGACGGACGTGTGACGGACGTGTGACGGACGTATGACGGACGTGTGACGGACGTGTGACGGACGTGTGACAGACGTGTGACGGACGTGTGACAGACGTGTGACGGACGTGTGATGGACGGGTGATTGACGTGTGACCGATGTGTGACAGACGTGTGACGGACGTGTGACGGACGTGTGACGGACGTGTGACGGACGTGTTACGGACGTGTGACGGACATGTTACGGACGTGTGACGGACGTGTTACGGACGTGTGACGGACGTATGACGGACGTGTGACGGACGTATGACGGACGTTTGACGGACGTGTGACGGACATTTGACAGACGTATGACGGACGTGTGACGGACGTGTGACAGACGTGTGACAGACGTGTGACGGACGTTTTACGGACGTGTGACAGACGTGTGACGGACGTGTGACGGACGTGTTACGGACGTGTGACAGACGTGTGACAGACGTGTGATGGACGTGTGACGGACGTATGACGGACGTATGACGGACGTGTGACAGACGTGTTACGGACGTGTGACAGACGTGTGACGGACGTATGACGGACGTGTGACGGACGTGTGACAGACGTATGACGGACGTGTGACAGACGTGTTACGGACGTGTGACTGACGTATGACAGACGTGTGACTGACGTATGACGGATGTATGACGGACGAGTGACAGACGTGTGACGGACGGGTGACTGACGTATGACGGACGTGTGACTGACGTATGACAGACGTGTGACTGACGTATGACGAATGTATGACGGACGAGTGACAGACGTGTGACGGACGGGTGACTGACGTATGACTGACGGATGTATGACGGACGTGTGACAGACGTGTGACGGACGGGTGACTGACGTATGACGGACGTGTGACTGACGTATGACAGACGTGTGACTGACGTATGACTGACGTATGACAGACGTGTGACTGACGTATGACGGACGTGTGACTGACGTATGACGGACGTGTGACTGACGTATGACGGACGTGTGACTGACGTGTGACTGACGTATGACGGACGTGTGACTGACGTGTGACTGACGTGTGACTGACGTATGACGGACGTATGACAGACGTATGACAGACGTATGACGGACGTGTGACGGACGTATGACGGACGTGTGATTGACAGGTGACAGACGTGTGACGGACGTGTGACGGACGTGTGACGAACGTATAACGGAGGTATGACGGACGTGTGTCGGACGTATGACGGACGTGTGACGGACATGTGACGGACGTGTGACGGACGTGTGACGGACGTATAACGGAGGTATGACGGACGTGTGACGGACGTTTGACGGACGTGTGACGGACGTGTGACGGACGTGTGACGGACGTGTGACGGACGTGTGACGGACTGTGACGGACAATTGACGGACGTGTGACGGACGTGTGACGGACGTGTGACGGACGTGTGACGGACGTATGACGGACGTGTGACGGACGTATGACGGACGTGTGACGGACGTTTGACGGACGTGTGACGGACGTGTGACTGACGTGTGACTGACGTATGACTGACGTATGACTGACGTTTGACTGACGTATGACGGACGTGTGACGGACGTATGACGGACGTGTGATTGACATGTGACAGACGTGTGACGGACGTGTGACGGACGTGTGACGGACGTGTGACGAACGTATAACGGAGGTATGACGGACGTGTGTCGGACGTATGACGGACGTGTGACGGACATGTGACGGACGTGTGACGGACGTGTGACGGACGTATAACGGAGGTATGACGGACGTGTGACAGACGTTTGACGGACGTGTGACGGACGTGTGACGGACGTGTGACGGACGTGTGACGGACGTCTGACGGACGTGTGACGGACGTGTGATGGACTGTGACGGACAATTGACGGACGTGTGACGGACGTGTGACGGACGTGTGACGGACGTGTGACGGACGTGTGACGGACGTGTGACGGACGTATGACGGACGTGTGACGGACGTTTGACGGACGTGTGACAGACGTGTGACGAACGTGTTACGGACGTGTGACGGACTGTGACGGACGTATGACGGACGTGTGACAGACGTGTGACGGACGTGTGACTGACGTGTGACGGACGTGTGATTGACGTGTGACAGACGTGTGACTGACGTGTGACGGACGTATGACGGACGTATGACGGACGTGTGATCGACGTGTGACTGACGTGTGACGGACGTGTGACGGACTGTGACGGACGTATGACGGACGTGTGACAGACGTGTGACGGACGTGTGACTGACGTGTGACGGACATGTGATTGACGTGTGACAGACGTGTGACTGACGTGTGACGGACGTATGACGGACGTGTGACGGACGTATGACGGACGTGTGATCGACGTGTGACTGACGTGTGACTGACGTGTGACGGACGTATGACGGACGTGTGACGGACGTGTGATCGACGTGTGATTGACGTGTGACAGACGTGTGACTGACGTGTGACGGACGTGTGACTGACGTGTGACAGACGTGTGACTGACGTGTGACTGACGTGTGACTGACGTGTGACGGACGTATGACGGACGTGTGACGGACGTGTGACGGACGTGTGACGGACGTGTGATCGACGTGTGACTGACGTGTGACGGACGTGTGACAGACGTGTGACGGACGTGTGATTGACGTGTGACGGACGTGTGACGGACGTGTGACAGACGTGTGACGGACGTGTGACGGATGTGTGACGGACGTATGACGGACGTGTGACGGACGTGTGACGGACGTGTGACAGACGTGTGACGGACGTGTGACAGACGTGTGACGGACGTGTGATGGACGGGTGATTGACGTGTGACCGATGTGTGACAGACGTGTGACGGACGTGTGACGGACGTGTGACGGACGTGTGACGGACGTGTTACGGACGTGTGACGGACATGTTACGGACGTGTGACGGACGTGTTACGGACGTGTTACGGACGTATGACGGACGTGTGACGGACGTATGACGGACGTTTGACGGACGTGTGACGGACATTTGACAGACGTATGACGGACGTGTGACGGACGTGTGACAGACGTGTGACAGACGTGTGACGGACGTTTTACGGACGTGTGACAGACGTGTGACGGACGTGTGACGGACGTGTTACGGACGTGTGACAGACGTGTGACAGACGTGTGATGGACGTGTGACGGACGTATGACGGACGTATGACGGACGTGTGACAGACGTGTTACGGACGTGTGACAGACGTGTGACGGACGTATGACGGACGTGTGACGGACGTGTGACGGACGTATGACGGACGTGTGACAGACGTGTTACGGACGTGTGACTGACGTATGACAGACGTGTGACTGACGTATGACGGATGTATGACGGACGAGTGACAGACGTGTGACGGACGGGTGACTGACGTATGACGGACGTGTGACTGACGTATGACAGACGTGTGACTGACGTATGACGGATGTATGACGGACGAGTGACAGACGTGTGACGGACGGGTGACTGACGTATGACTGACGGATGTATGACGGACGTGTGACAGACGTGTGACGGACGGGTGACTGACGTATGACGGACGTGTGACTGACGTATGACAGACGTGTGACTGACGTATGACTGACGTATGACAGACGTGTGACTGACGTATGACGGACGTGTGACTGACGTATGACGGACGTGTGACTGACGTATGACGGACGTGTGACTGACGTGTGACTGACGTATGACTGACGTATGACAGACGTGTGACTGACGTATGACGGACGTGTGACTGACGTATGACGGACGTGTGACTGACGTATGACGGACGTGTGACTGACGTGTGACTGACGTATGACGGACGTGTGACTGACGTGTGACTGACGTATGACGGACGTATGACGGACGTATGACAGACGTATGACAGACGTATGACGGACGTGTGACGGACGTATGACGGACGTGTGATTGACAGGTGACAGACGTGTGACGGACGTGTGACGGACGTGTGACGGACGTGTGACGAACGTATAACGGAGGTATGACGGACGTGTGTCGGACGTATGACGGACGTGTGACGGACATGTGACGGACGTGTGACAGACGTGTGACGGACGTATAACGGAGGTATGACGGACGTGTGACGGACGTTTGACGGACGTGTGACGGACGTGTGACGGACGTGTGACGGACGTGTGACGGACGTGTGACGGACTGTGACGGACAATTGACGGACGTGTGACGGACGTATGACGGACGTGTGACGGACGTATGACGGACGTGTGACGGACGTTTGACGGACGTGTGACGGACGTGTGACAGACGTGTGACGAACGTGTTACGGACGTGTGACGGACTGTGACGGACGTATGACGGACGTGTGACAGACGTGTGACGGACGTGTGACTGACGTGTGACGGACGTGTGATTGACGTGTGACAGACGTGTGACTGACGTGTGACGGACGTATGACGGACGTATGACGGACGTGTGATCGACGTGTGACTGACGTGTGACGGACGTGTGACGGACTGTGACGGACGTATGACGGACGTGTGACGGACTGTGACGGACAATTGACGGACGTGTGACGGACGTGTGACGGACGTGTGACGGACGTGTGACGGACGTGTGACGGACGTATGACGGACGTGTGACGGACGTGTGACGGACGTGTGACGGACGTGTGACGGACGTATAACGGAGGTATGACGGACGTGTGACGGACGTTTGACGGACGTGTGACGGACGTGTGACGGACGTGTGACGGACGTGTGACGGACTGTGACGGACAATTGACGGACGTGTGACGGACGTGTGACGGACGTGTGACGGACGTGTGACGGACGTATGACGGACGTGTGACGGACGTATGACGGACGTGTGACGGACGTTTGACGGACGTGTGACGGACGTGTGACTGACGTGTGACTGACGTATGACGGACGTATGACAGACGTATGACAGACGTATGACGGACGTGTGACGGACGTATGACGGACGTGTGATTGACATGTGACAGACGTGTGACGGACGTGTGACGGACGTGTGACGGACGTGTGACGAACGTATAACGGAGGTATGACGGACGTGTGTCGGACGTATGACGGACGTGTGACGGACATGTGACGGACGTGTGACGGACGTGTGACGGACGTATAACGGAGGTATGACGGACGTGTGACAGACGTTTGACGGACGTGTGACGGACGTGTGACGGACGTGTGACGGACGTGTGACGGACGTCTGACGGACGTGTGACGGACGTGTGATGGACTGTGACGGACAATTGACGGACGTGTGACGGACGTGTGACGGACGTGTGACGGACGTGTGACGGACGTGTGACGGACGTGTGACGGACGTATGACGGACGTGTGACGGACGTTTGACGGACGTGTGACGGACGTGTGACAGACGTGTGACGAACGTGTTACGGACGTGTGACGGACTGTGACGGACGTATGACGGACGTGTGACAGACGTGTGACGGACGTGTGACTGACGTGTGACGGACGTGTGATTGACGTGTGACAGACGTGTGACTGACGTGTAACGGACGTATGACGGACGTATGACGGACGTGTGATCGACGTGTGACTGACGTGTGACGGACGTGTGACGGACTGTGACGGACGTATGACGGACGTGTGACAGACGTGTGACGGACGTGTGACTGACGTGTGACGGACATGTGATTGACGTGTGACAGACGTGTGACTGACGTGTGACGGACGTATGACGGACGTGTGACGGACGTATGACGGACGTGTGACGGACGTGTGACGGACGTGTGATCGACGTGTGATTGACGTGTGACAGACGTGTGACTGACGTGTGACGGACGTGTGACTGACGTGTGACAGACGTGTGACTGACGTGTGACTGACGTGTGACTGACGTGTGACGGACGTATGACGGACGTGTGACGGACGTGTGACGGACGTGTGATCGACGTGTGACTGACGTGTGACGGACGTGTGACAGACGTGTGACGGACGTGTGATTGACGTGTGACGGACGTGTGACGGACGTGTGACAGACGTGTGACGGACGTGTGACGGACGTGTGACGGACGTATGACGGACGTGTGACGGACGTTTGACGGACGTGTGACGGACGTGTGACGGACGTGTGACGGACGTGTGACGGACGTGTGACGGACGTATGACGGACGTGTGACGGACGTATGACGGACGTGTGACGGACGTTTGACGGACGTGTGACGGACGTGTGACAGACGTGTGACGTACGTGTTACGGACGTGTGACGGACTGTGACGGACGTATGACGGACGTGTGACAGACGTGTGACGGACGTGTGACTGACGTGTGACGGACGTGTGATTGACGTGTGACAGACGTGTGACTGACGTGTGACGACGTATGACGGACGTATGACGGACGTATGACGGACGTGTGATCGACGTGTGACTGACGTGTGACGGACGTGTGACGGACTGTGACGGACGTATGACGGACGTGTGACAGACGTGTGACGGACGTGTGACTGACGTGTGACGGACATGTGATTGACGTGTGACAGACGTGTGACTGACGTGTGACGGACGTATGACGGACGTGTGACGGACGTATGACGGACGTGTGATCGACGTGTGACTGACGTGTGATTGACATGTGACAGACGTGTGACGGACGTGTGACGGACGTGTGACGGACGTGTGACGAACGTATAACGGAGGTATGACGGACGTGTGTCGGACGTATGACGGACGTGTGACGGACATGTGACGGACGTGTGACGGACGTGTGACGGACGTATAACGGAGGTATGACGGACGTGTGACAGACGTTTGACGGACGTGTGACGGACGTGTGACGGACGTGTGACGGACGTGTGACGGACGTCTGACGGACGTGTGACGGACGTGTGATGGACTGTGACGGACAATTGACGGACGTGTGACGGACGTGTGACGGACGTGTGACGGACGTGTGACGGACGTGTGACGGACGTGTGACGGACGTATGACGGACGTGTGACGGACGTTTGACGGACGTGTGACAGACGTGTGACGAACGTGTTACGGACGTGTGACGGACTGTGACGGACGTATGACGGACGTGTGACAGACGTGTGACGGACGTGTGACTGACGTGTGACGGACGTGTGATTGACGTGTGACAGACGTGTGACTGACGTGTGACGGACGTATGACGGACGTATGACGGACGTGTGATCGACGTGTGACTGACGTGTGACGGACGTGTGACGGACTGTGACGGACGTATGACGGACGTGTGACAGACGTGTGACGGACGTGTGACTGACGTGTGACGGACATGTGATTGACGTGTGACAGACGTGTGACTGACGTGTGACGGACGTATGACGGACGTGTGACGGACGTATGACGGACGTGTGATCGACGTGTGACTGACGTGTGACTGACGTGTGACGGACGTATGACGGACGTGTGACGGACGTGTGATCGACGTGTGATTGACGTGTGACAGACGTGTGACTGACGTGTGACGGACGTGTGACTGACGTGTGACAGACGTGTGACTGACGTGTGACTGACGTGTGACTGACGTGTGACGGACGTATGACGGACGTGTGACGGACGTGTGACGGACGTGTGACGGACGTGTGATCGACGTGTGACTGACGTGTGACGGACGTGTGACAGACGTGTGACGGACGTGTGATTGACGTGTGACGGACGTGTGACGGACGTGTGACAGACGTGTGACGGACGTGTGACGGATGTGTGACGGACGTATGACGGACGTGTGACGGACGTGTGACGGACGTGTGACAGACGTGTGACGGACGTGTGACAGACGTGTGACGGACGTGTGATGGACGGGTGATTGACGTGTGACCGATGTGTGACAGACGTGTGACGGACGTGTGACGGACGTGTGACGGACGTGTGACGGACGTGTTACGGACGTGTGACGGACATGTTACGGACGTGTGACGGACGTGTTACGGACGTGTTACGGACGTATGACGGACGTGTGACGGACGTATGACGGACGTTTGACGGACGTGTGACGGACATTTGACAGACGTATGACGGACGTGTGACGGACGTGTGACAGACGTGTGACAGACGTGTGACGGACGTTTTACGGACGTGTGACAGACGTGTGACGGACGTGTGACGGACGTGTTACGGACGTGTGACAGACGTGTGACAGACGTGTGATGGACGTGTGACGGACGTATGACGGACGTATGACGGACGTGTGACAGACGTGTTACGGACGTGTGACAGACGTGTGACGGACGTATGACGGACGTGTGACGGACGTGTGACGGACGTATGACGGACGTGTGACAGACGTGTTACGGACGTGTGACTGACGTATGACAGACGTGTGACTGACGTATGACGGATGTATGACGGACGAGTGACAGACGTGTGACGGACGGGTGACTGACGTATGACGGACGTGTGACTGACGTATGACAGACGTGTGACTGACGTATGACGGATGTATGACGGACGAGTGACAGACGTGTGACGGACGGGTGACTGACGTATGACTGACGGATGTATGACGGACGTGTGACAGACGTGTGACGGACGGGTGACTGACGTATGACGGACGTGTGACTGACGTATGACAGACGTGTGACTGACGTATGACTGACGTATGACAGACGTGTGACTGACGTATGACGGACGTGTGACTGACGTATGACGGACGTGTGACTGACGTATGACGGACGTGTGACTGACGTGTGACTGACGTATGACGGACGTGTGACTGACGTGTGACTGACGTGTGACTGACGTATGACGGACGTATGACAGACGTATGACAGACGTATGACGGACGTGTGACGGACGTATGACGGACGTGTGATTGACAGGTGACAGACGTGTGACGGACGTGTGACGGACGTGTGACGGACGTGTGACGAACGTATAACGGAGGTATGACGGACGTGTGTCGGACGTATGACGGACGTGTGACGGACATGTGACGGACGTGTGACAGACGTGTGACGGACGTATAACGGAGGTATGACGGACGTGTGACGGACGTTTGACGGACGTGTGACGGACGTGTGACGGACGTGTGACGGACGTGTGACGGACGTGTGACGGACTGTGACGGACAATTGACGGACGTGTGACGGACGTGTGACGGACGTGTGACGGACGTATGACGGACGTGTGACGGACGTATGACGGACGTGTGACGGACGTTTGACGGACGTGTGACGGACGTGTGACAGACGTGTGACGAACGTGTTACGGACGTGTGACGGACTGTGACGGACGTATGACGGACGTGTGACAGACGTGTGACGGACGTGTGACTGACGTGTGACGGACGTGTGATTGACGTGTGACAGACGTGTGACTGACGTGTGACGGACGTATGACGGACGTATGACGGACGTGTGATCGACGTGTGACTGACGTGTGACGGACGTGTGACGGACTGTGACGGACGTATGACGGACGTGTGACGGACTGTGACGGACAATTGACGGACGTGTGACGGACGTGTGACGGACGTGTGACGGACGTGTGACGGACGTGTGACGGACGTATGACGGACGTGTGACGGACGTGTGACGGACGTGTGACGGACGTGTGACGGACGTATAACGGAGGTATGACGGACGTGTGACGGACGTTTGACGGACGTGTGACGGACGTGTGACGGACGTGTGACGGACGTGTGACGGACGTGTGACGGACTGTGACGGACAATTGACGGACGTGTGACGGACGTGTGACGGACGTGTGACGGACGTGTGACGGACGTATGACGGACGTGTGACGGACGTATGACGGACGTGTGACGGACGTTTGACGGACGTGTGACGGACGTGTGACTGACGTGTGACTGACGTATGACGGACGTATGACAGACGTATGACAGACGTATGACGGACGTGTGACGGACGTATGACGGACGTGTGATTGACATGTGACAGACGTGTGACGGACGTGTGACGGACGTGTGACGGACGTGTGACGAACGTATAACGGAGGTATGACGGACGTGTGTCGGACGTATGACGGACGTGTGACGGACATGTGACGGACGTGTGACGGACGTGTGACGGACGTATAACGGAGGTATGACGGACGTGTGACAGACGTTTGACGGACGTGTGACGGACGTGTGACGGACGTGTGACGGACGTGTGACGGACGTCTGACGGACGTGTGACGGACGTGTGATGGACTGTGACGGACAATTGACGGACGTGTGACGGACGTGTGACGGACGTGTGACGGACGTGTGACGGACGTGTGACGGACGTATGACGGACGTGTGACGGACGTTTGACGGACGTGTGACGGACGTGTGACAGACGTGTGACGAACGTGTTACGGACGTGTGACGGACTGTGACGGACGTATGACGGACGTGTGACAGACGTGTGACGGACGTGTGACTGACGTGTGACGGACGTGTGATTGACGTGTGACAGACGTGTGACTGACGTGTAACGGACGTATGACGCGGACGTATGACGGACGTGTGATCGACGTGTGACTGACGTGTGACGGACGTGTGACGGACTGTGACGGACGTATGACGGACGTGTGACAGACGTGTGACGGACGTGTGACTGACGTGTGACGGACATGTGATTGACGTGTGACAGACGTGTGACTGACGTGTGACGGACGTATGACGGACGTGTGACGGACGTATGACGGACGTGTGATTGACGTGTGACTGACGTGTGACTGACGTGTGACGGACGTGATACGGACGTGTGACGGACGTGTGACGGACGTGTGATCGACGTGTGATTGACGTGTGACAGACGTGTGACTGACGTGTGACGGACGTGTGACTGACGTGTGACAGACGTGTGACTGACGTGTGACTGACGTGTGACTGACGTGTGACGGACGTATGACGGACGTGTGACGGACGTGTGACGGACGTGTGACGGACGTGTGATCGACGTGTGACTGACGTGTGACGGACGTGTGACAGACGTGTGACGGACGTGTGATTGACGTGTGACGGACGTGTGACGGACGTGTGACAGACGTGTGACGGACGTGTGACGGACGTGTGACGGACGTATGACGGACGTGTGACGGACGTGTGACGGACGTGTGACAGACGTGTGACGGACGTGTGACAGACGTGTGACGGACGTGTGATGGACGGGTGATTGACGTGTGACCGATGTGTGACAGACGTGTGACGGACGTGTGACGGACGTGTGACGGACGTGTGACGGACGTGTTACGGACGTGTGACGGACGTGTTACGGACGTGTGACGGACGTGTTACGGACGTGTTACGGACGTATGACGGACGTGTGACGGACGTATGACGGACGTTTGACGGACGTGTGACGGACATTTGACAGACGTATGACGGACGTGTGACGGACGTGTGACAGACGTGTGACAGACGTGTGACGGACGTTTTACGGACGTGTGACAGACGTGTGACGGACGTGTGACGGACGTGTTACGGACGTGTGACAGACGTGTGACAGACGTGTGATGGACGTGTGACGGACGTATGACGGACGTGTGACGGACGTGTGACAGACGTGTTACGGACGTGTGACAGACGTGTGACGGACGTATGACGGACGTGTGACGGACGTGTGACGGACGTATGACGGACGTGTGACAGACGTGTTACGGACGTGTGACTGACGTATGACAGACGTGTGACTGACGTATGACGGATGTATGACGGACGAGTGACAGACGTGTGACGGACGGGTGACTGACGTATGACGGACGTGTGACTGACGTATGACAGACGTGTGACTGACGTATGACGGATGTATGACGGACGAGTGACAGACGTGTGACGGACGGGTGACTGACGTATGACTGACGGATGTATGACGGACGTGTGACAGACGTGTGACGGACGGGTGACTGACGTATGACGGACGTGTGACTGACGTATGACAGACGTGTGACTGACGTATGACTGACGTATGACAGACGTGTGACTGACGTATGACGGACGTGTGACTGACGTATGACGGACGTGTGACTGACGTATGACGGACGTGTGACTGACGTGTGACTGACGTATGACGGACGTGTGACTGACGTGTGACTGACGTGTGACTGACGTATGACGGACGTATGACAGACGTATGACAGACGTATGACGGACGTGTGACGGACGTATGACGGACGTGTGATTGACAGGTGACAGACGTGTGACGGACGTGTGACGGACGTGTGACGGACGTGTGACGAACGTATAACGGAGGTATGACGGACGTGTGTCGGACATATGACGGACGTGTGACGGACATGTGACGGACGTGTGACGGACGTGTGACGGACGTATAACGGAGGTATGACGGACGTGTGACGGACGTTTGACTGACGTTTGACGGACGTGTGACGGACGTGTGACGGACGTGTGACGGACTGTGACGGACAATTGACGGACGTGTGACGGACGTGTGACGGACGTGTGACGGACGTGTGACGGACGTATGACGGACGTGTGACGGACGTATGACGGACGTGTGACGGACGTTTGACGGACGTGTGACGGACGTGTGACAGACGTGTGACGTACGTGTTACGGACGTGTGACGGACGTATGACGGACGTGTGACAGACGTGTGACGGACGTGTGACTGACGTGTGACGGACGTGTGATTGACGTGTGACAGACGTGTGACTGACGTGTGACGGACGTATGACGGACGTATGACGGACGTGTGATCGACGTGTGACTGACGTGTGACGGACGTGTGACGGACTGTGACGGACGTATGACGGACGTGTGACAGACGTGTGACGGACGTGTGACTGACGTGTGACGGACGTGTGATTGACGTGTGACAGACGTGTGACTGACGTGTGACGGACGTATGACGGACGTGTGACGGACGTATGACGGACGTGTGATCGACGTGTGACTGACGTGTGACTGACGTGTGACGGACGTATGACGGACGTGTGACGGACGTGTGACGGACGTGTGATCGACGTGTGACTGACGTGTGACGGACGTATGACGGACGTGTGACAGACGTGTGACGGACGTGTGATTGACGTGTGACGGACGTGTGACTGACGTGTGACGGACGTGTGATTGACGTGTGACGGACGTGTGACTAACGTGTGACGGACGAATGACGGACGTGTGACAGACGTGTGACGGACGTGTGATTGACGTGTGACGGACGTGTGATTGACGTGTGACAGACGTGTGACTGACGTGTGACGGACGTGTGACTGACGTGTGACAGACGTGTGACTGACGTGTGACTGACGTGTGACTGACGTGTGACGGACGTGTGACGGACGTGTGACGGACGTGTGACGGACGTGTGACAGACGTGTGACGGACGTGTGATTGACGTGTGACGGACGTGTGACGGACGTGTGACTGACGTGTGACGGACGTGTGATTGACGTGTGACGGACGTGTGACTGACGTTTGACGGACGAATGACGGACGTGTGACAGACGTGTGACGGACGTGTGATTGACGTGTGACGGACGTGTGATTGACGTGTGACAGACGTGTGACTGACGTGTGACGGACGTGTGACTGACGTGTGACAGACGTATGACGGACGTGTGACTGACGTGTGACGGACGTATGACGGACGTGTGATCGACGTGTGACAGACGTGTGACTGACGTGTGACGGACGTGTGACTGACGTGTGACGGACGTGTGACTGACGTGTGACGGACGTGTGATTGACGTGTGACAGACGTGTGACTGACGTGTGACGGACGTATGACGGACGTGTGACTGACGTGTGACGGACGTATGACGGACGTGTGATCGACGTGTGACTGACGTGTGACGGACGTATGACGGACGTGTGACAGACGTGTGACGGACGTGTGACGGACGTATGACGGACGTGTGATCGACGTGTGACAGACGTTTGACGGACGTGCGATCAACGTTCGACGGACGTGTGATTGACGTGTGACAGACGTGTGACTGACGTGTGACGGACGTGTGACTGACGTGTGACAGACGTATGACGGACGTGTGACTGACGTGTGACGGACGTATGACGGACGTGTGATCGACGTGTGACAGACGTGTGACTGACGTGTGACGGACGTGTGACTGACGTGTGACGGACGTGTGACTGACGTGTGACGGACGTGTGATTGACGTGTGACAGACGTGTGACTGACGTGTGACGGACGTATGACGGACGTGTGACTGACGTGTGACGGACGTATGACGGACGTGTGATCGACGTGTGACTGACGTGTGACGGACGTGTGACGGACGTGTGACAGACGTGTGACGGACGTGTGACGGACGTATGACGGACGTGTGATCGACGTGTGACAGACGTTTGACGGACGTGCGATCAACGTTCGACGGACGTGTGACGGACGTGTGACGGACGTACGACGGATGTATGACGGACGTATGACGGACGTGTGATTGACGTGTGACAGACGTGTGACGGATGTACAACGGATGTATGACGGACGTATGACGGACGTGTGATTGACGTGTGACAGACGTGTGACGGACGTGTGACGGTTGATGACGGACGTGTGACGGACTGCGACGGACTGTGACGGACGTGTTACGGACGTGTGACGGACGTGTTACGGACGTGTGACAGACGTGTGACGGACGTGTTACGGACGTGTTACGGACGTGTGACGGACGTGTGACGGACGTGTTACGGACGTGTGACAGACGTGTGACGGACGTGTTACGGACGTGTTACGGACGTGTGACGGACGTGTTACGGACGTGTGACAGACGTGTGACGGACGTGTTACGGACGTGTTACGGACGTGTGACAAACGTGTGACAGACATGTTACGGACGTGTGACAGACGTGTGACGGACGTGTTACGGACGTGTTACGGACGTGTGACGGACGTGTTACGGACGTGTGACAGACGTGTGACGGACGTGTGACGGACGTGTTACGGACGTGTGACAGACGTGTGACGGACGTGTGACGGACGTGTTACGGACGTGTGACAGACGTGTGACAGACGTGTGCCGGACGTGTGACGGACGTGTGACAGACGTATGACACGAGGCTGCGCCTAATTTAGGAGGGATTTCTAATCTGGCAGTTGCAGTAGCGCATCTCCAGTTAATACACTTGAAAACAGGATTTTTGTAGCGGCCCTTGGCTCTAGATCAGATTCCACCTATTTCCTCAAATCTTGAGGTTAAAACTGGACTCACCTAAGGAAATGGGTGGAGTCATCTGTGCTGCTGCTCAGTTTGTAACTGATGGAAGTAAAACCTGCAGCCACATGGCCCTTTCTGGAACCGATTTGAGACCCCTGATCTCAAACCGCACACACACACACACACACACACTGGAGGACTGGCAGGTTTCACAGTGATTCAGATCTTTATCTTTCATTAAGTCTTGCCACAGAGACCATGAGGACAAGCACATGCATGTGATTTTTGTTGCTCTACATCAGCCATTCCCAAACTCAGTAACACCGAGGCCCCCTTAAAAATCTGACGGGTCTGAGTGGCCCCCCAAAATAATAACCAAGAAGACAACATTAAGAATAGGCTCTTCTGGTTATTTTATTTTGGGGAAATAGCCTCTGCTACAAACATTGTAATACAAAAATGATTACAGTGGATTATTCAAGTCAAATAATGAACACAAATATTTTAATATTACAAACAAAACATTATAAATTTAACATTAAATAATTATATATATATATTTTTTTTTTTTATGACCTCCCGCGGCCCCCCTGCAGAACCCTGCCCCCTGGTGGGCCGCGGACCCCACTTTGGGAGACACTGCTCTACATCAATCCTCTGGTCCGTTCTGTCCTCTTCACTTCTCCGCATCAGAAGTCGTGTACAGCCTCAGTCCTGGGTCTATAGCCTCATTCCTGGGTCTACAGCTTCAGTCCTGGGTCTACAGCCTGAGTCCTGGATCTACAGCCTGAGTCCTGGATCTACAGCCTGAGTCCTGGGTCTACAGCCTCAATCCTAGGTCTACACAATTCCCTGTATGAAGCTATTGTAACTGGTGAAATGGTCATTTGTCATTCAGCCAACTTCAGTTCAAACTAAAGAGTCCCTCAGAGTCCTGTATCTTCCCAATCACTTAGAATCTGAAGCTGCTGTTTCCCACGATGCATCTGTGCCGGTCACATGACGCTGGTATGAGGCGGGTAACATGACACTGATTGATTTTCATCCGATCAGAAGGTCTTCACACACGTTCACTGGTACCTCTGGGTCACTGCTGGTCCTGCTTTAGACTGAAGGGAAATCTTTCACTTCAAAATTTAAACAAGAGCGTATTAAAGCTGAGGTCCATAACTTTCAAAGCACCACATCCTGATAATCCATGTCTCCAGCTCCTGTCGACCTAAATTTTTTTGTTTGTATCAATTTTTAGAGGGGAGAGAGGAGAGGAGAGAGGAGAGGAGAGAGGAGAGAGAGAGGATGGGAAAGAGAGTAGGGAGGAGAGAGGAGAGAAAGGAGGGAGGGGAGGGGAGGGGAGAGTAAGGAATGAAAGAGTAAGGAGGAAAGAGAGAAGAGAGAGGAGAAAAGAGAGCAGTCAGGATTTAACTTCTACATTTAGACCAGAGGGTATTAAAGCTGGGGTGCGTAACTTTCAAAGCACCAATCAGCTCTCAGCCAATCAGCTCTCAGCCAATCAGCTCTCAGCCCAAAGACAGAGACTCACAGTGATCTCTCTCACACTAAAGTACAGGTTTTCTAATGTGATGAAGACAGAAGGTTGCATAATAAAGTGTGTGTCTGTGTGTGTGTGTGTGTGTGTGTGTGTGACCCATTGACTTGAAGAGGCGCAAGTCCGAACAAGAGACTGTGTGTTTGTGTGCATATGTGCGTGCGTGTGTGTGCGCGTCTGTGTGTATGTGCGTGCGTGCATGTGTGCGTACGTGTGCATGGGTGTGTGTGTGTACGTGTGCATGTGTGTGTTTGTGTTTGTGTGTGTGCGTGTATTTGTGTGTGTAAGAGAGAGATCAGCGATTTGCAGGATCTGGTATTTGTGGAAAGGCGTCTTTTCCCACGACGCTAGAATCACCTCAGAGTGTGTCTCAAAGTGGAGCGACACGCCCACATATTGTTCTGTGACAAAGAGAGGGAGGCTTTTGAGAGAGGAGAGAGAGGAGAGAGAGGGGAGAGAGGGGAGAGAGAGGAGAGAGGGGAGAGAGATGAGAGAGAGAGGAGAGAGAGGAGAGAGAGGGGAGAGAGGGGAGAGAGGAGAGAGAGGAGAGAGAGGAGAGAGAGGGAGAGAGGGGAGAGAGAGGGGAGAGAGAGGGAGAGAGAGGAGAGAGAGAGGAGAGAGAGGAGAGAGAGGAGAGAGAGGGGAGAGAGAGAGAGAGGGAGAGAGAGGGAGAGAGAGAGAGAGAGAGAGAGGAGGAGAGAGAGGGGAGGGGAGAGAGAGAGAGAGAGAGAGGAGAGAGAGGGGAGAGAGGGGAGAGAGAGAGAGAGAGGAGAGAGAGGGGAGAGAGAGGAGAGAGAGAGGAGAGAGAGGAGAGAGAGGGAGAGAGAGAGGGAGAGAGAGGGGAGAGAGAGGGGAGAGAGGAGAGAGAGAGAGAGAGGAGAGAGAGAGGAGAGAGAGAGGAGAGAGAGAGGAGAGAGAGGGGAGAGAGAGGGGAGAGAGAGAGAGAGAGAGAGGAGAGAGAGGGGAGAGAGGGAGAGAGAGGAGAGAGAGAGAGGGGAGAGAGAGGAGAGAGAGGAGAGAGAGGGGAGAGAGGTGAGAGAGAGGGGAGAGAGAGGAGAGAGGGGAGAGAGGGGAGAGAGAGGGGAGAGAGAGGAGAGAGAGAGAGAGAGAGGGGAGAGAGAGGAGAGAGAGAGGAGAGAGAGGGAGAGAGAGGAGAGAGAGAGGAGAGAGAGGAGAGAGAGAGAGAGAGAGAGAGAGAGAGAGAGGAGAGAGGGAGAGAGAGGGGAGAGAGAGGGGAGAGAGAGGAGAGAGAGGGGAGAGAGGGGAGAGAGAGAGGGGAGAGAGAGGGGAGAGAGAGGAGAGAGAGAGGAGAGAGAGGGGAGAGAGGAGAGAGAGAGGAGAGAGGGGAGAGAGAGGAGAGAGAGGAAAGAGAGGGGAGAGAGAGGAGAGAGAAGGAAGATAGGAGAGAAAGGAGAGAGTGAAGAGAGAGAGAAAGAGAGGAGAGGAGAGAGGAGACAGAGCTGGTCCGGCTGAGGAGGCAGAGATGGGGAGGAGGAGGGTTGCTGCATAAATGAAAGCCTCCTGTACTGTATGATGTCAGTGCGGCGCTGGAGCTGAGTGTGATTGACAGATGCCGTTGCCGCAGCGACAGGACTGAGCTCAGTTGTTCCAGACTGAACCTCGGCGTTAACTTCATGTGAAGGCGGAGCTTCTGGAGATTTTCCCGTGTTTTTCCAATGATCGTGTGCGTGCAGCCGCGTCTGCCCCGAGGCGAGAGGAAAGTGTGTTACACTATTGTGCGAGGGACAAAGGACGACTCGGGTTCCACCAGCGACAGATCTGAGATTAACACACAGAACAACTTTATCTGGAGTCTTCAAAAGTCAAGTCAAAATCCACTACAGGAGTAGAAGAGAGGGGAGAGGGGAGAGAGAGAGGAGAGAAAATAGAGGAGAGGAGAGAGGGGAGAGAGGGGAGAGAGGGGAGGAGAAAGGAGAGGGGCGAGAGAGAGGAAAGAGGGGAGAGAGAGAGAGGAGAGAGGGGAGAGAGAAGAGAGGAGAGAGGGGAGAGAGAGAGGAGAGAAAAGAGGGGAGAGGAGAGAGAGGGGAGAGAGAGGGGAGGAGGGGAGAGAGGAGATGAGTAAGAAAATAGGTGAGAGGAGAGAGGGGAGAGAGAAGAGAGGAGAGAGGGGAGAGAGGAGAGAGGGGAGAGAGAAGAGAGGGGAGAGGGGAGAGAGGAGAGAAAAGAGAGGAGAGAGAAGAGGAGAGAGGAGAGAGAGAGGAGAGAGGAGATTCATGGTTTGAAAGTTACGAACCCGAGCTTTAAATCAGTCAAACCAGTGGCTCTGTTTGTGAGACGCTTTAGCTCTGCCCAGCCACAGCCCAGAGAGGCAGAAAGTGACTCACAGGTACAGCCTGGCATCCAGTGTTGTGCGTGAACGAGTTCAAAAGAACGCGTTCATTGAACACGCTCATTTTTTCGTGAACGTTGAACTGAACGCAACACATTTTTAAAAAAAGAACTTGAACGTGAATTAGTTCATTTTATGTGTCATGAACGGCAGACATCACTATGAACGTTGGAATCTGTTTTCTCTTTTGAAACGCAACGAGAGAAAGTTCCTCCCTCCTGTATTCTCCGCACTTTTTCCGCCGAAATATAAAAATTCCTACGGTTTCCACCGTCTGTGAACGCACCCAGACTCCGTGTTGCGGTGCGGCGCTGTGAGCTGGTGCTTTTCACATGTGCCCGAGTCGTGATGAAAACACAGGGTGAGTTAGCGACAAAGTTTACACCGTTTACATTTGACAGAAAGTATAGACACAGCACTGCAGCGCATTACTGTCTGTAGTTTATGAGCAGAGATGGAACAACTCCGTTTGGCTCCCATTGAAAACCATGTAAATCTGGTCTGTTTTGTAGTCAAAAGGCCCTATATAGGATATATATAGCTCGTAGTGTGAAAAAAATATGTATTTATCTCACAAAAAAAGTTAAATGAACTGAACTTTGAACTAGTTCAGAATAAAAAATGTGAACTTTGAACGTGTTCTGTTCACTTTGAGCATTTATGAACTGAACTTGAACTAGTTCAGAAAAGCTGTGAACTGGCACAACACTGCTGGCATCACAGGTACAGCAGGGCATCACAGGTACAGCAGGCCATCACAGTTACAGCAGGCCATCACAGGTACAGCAGTGCGTCACAGGTACAGCAGGGCATCACAGGTACACCAGGCCATCACAGGTACAGCAGGGTGTCACAAGTACACCAGGCCATCACAGGTTCAGCAGGCCATCACAGGTACAGCAGGGCATCACAGGTACACCAGGCCATCACAGGTACAGCAGGCCATCACAGGTACAGCAGGGCATCACAGGTACACCAGGCCATCACAGGTTCAGCAGGCCATCACAGGTACAGCAGGGCATCACAGGTACAGCACCCGGCCATCACAGGTACAGCAGGGTGTCACAGGTACAGCAGGGCATCATAGGTACAGCAGGGTGTCACAGGTACAGCAGGCCATCACAGGTACAGCAGGGCATCACAGGTACAGCAGGGCATCACAGGTACAGCAGGGCACCACAGGTACAGCAGGCCATCACAGGTACAGCAGGCCATCACAGGTACAGCAGGGTGTCACAGGTACAGCAGGGTGAGGCCATCACAGGTACAGCAGGGCATCACAGGTACAGCAGGGTGTCACAGGTACAGCAGGCCATCACAGGTACAGCAGGCCATCACAGGTACAGCAGGGCATCACAGGTACAGCAGGGCATCACAGGTACAGCAGGGTGTCACAGGTACAGCAGGGTGTCACAGGTACAGCAGGGCATCACAGGTACAGCAGGCCATCACAGGTACAGAAGGGCATCACAGGTACAGCAGGGCATCACAGGTACAGCACCCGGCCATCACAGGTACAGCAGGGTGTCACAGGTACAGCAGGGCATCACAGGTACAGCAGGGCATCACAGGTACAGCAGGGCACCACAGGTACAGCAGGGCATCATAGGTACAGCAGGGCATCACAGGTACAGCAGGCCATCACAGGTACTGCAGGGCATCACAGGTACAGCACCCGGCCATCACAGGTACAGCAGGGTGTCACAGGTACAGCAGGCCATCACAGGTACAGCAGGGTGTCACAGGTACAGCAGGGCATCACAGGTACAGCACCCGGCCATCACAGGTACAGCAGGGTGTCACAGGTACATCAGGCCATCACAGGTACAGCAGGGCATCACAGGTACAGCACCCGGCCATCACAGGTACAGCAGGGTGTCACAGGTACAGCAGGCCATCACAGGTACAGCAGGGCATCACAGGTACAGCAGGCCATCACAGGTACAGCAGGGCATCACAGGTACAGCACCCGGCCATCACAGGTACAGCAGGGCATCACAGGGAACACATGGTTTTAACACTGCCTCAGGGCGGACATGACTCTGACCTCAGGCTGTAGTCTGCCTCAGGGCGACTCTGACCTCAGGCTGTAGTCTGCCTCAGGGCGACTCTGACCTCAGGATGTAGTCTGCCTCAGGGCGGACATGACTCTGACCTCAGGCTGTAGTCTGCCTCAGGGCGACTCTGACCTCAGGCTGTAGTCTGCCTCAGGGCGGACATGACTCTGACCTCAGGCTGTAGTCTGCCTCAGGGCGACTCTGACCTCAGGCTGTAGTCTGCCTCAGGGCGACTCTGACCTCAGGCTGTAGTCTGCCTCAGGGCGGACACGACTCTGACCTCAGGCTGTAGTCTGCCTCAGGGCGGACACGACTCTGACCTCAGGCTGTAGTCTGCCTCAGGGCGGACATGACTCTGACCTCAGGCTGTAAACTGCCTCAGGGCGACTCTGACCTCAGGCTGTAGACTGCCTCAGGGCGACTCTGACCTCAGGCTGTAGACTGCCTCAGGGCGACTCTAACCTCAGGCTGTAGTCTGCCTCAGGGCGGACATGACTCTAACCTCAGGCTGTAGTCTGCCTCAGGAAGACTCTAACCTCAGGCTGTAGTCTGCCTCAGGGCGACTCTGACCTCAGGCTGTAGTCTGCCTCAGGGCGACTCTGACCTCAGGCTGTAGTCTGCCTCAGGGCGGACATGACTCTGACCTCAGGCTGTAGTCTGCCTCAGGGCGACTCTGACCTCAGGCTGTAGACTGCCTCAGGGCGGACGACTCTGACCTCAGGCTGTAGTCTGCCTCAGGGCGGACATGACTCTGACCTCAGGCTGTAGTCTGCCTCAGGGCGACTCTGACCTCAGGCTGTAGACTGCCTCAGGGCGGACACGACTCTGACCTCAGGCTGTAGTCTGCCTCAGGGCGGACATGACTCTGACCTCAGGCTGTAGTCTGCCTCAGGGCGGACATGACTCTGACCTCAGGCTGTAGTCTGCCTCAGGGCGGACATGACTCTGACCTCAGGCTGTAGTCTGCCTCAGGGCGACTCTGACCTCAGGCTGTAGACTGCCTCAGGGCGGACATGACTCTGACCTCAGGCTGTAGTCTGCCTCAGGGCGACTCTGACCTCAGGCTGTAGTCTGCCTCAGGGCGGACACGACTCTGACCTCAGGCTGTAGTCTGCCTCAGGGCGGAAACTCTGACCTCAGGCTGTAGTCTGCCTCAGGGCGGACAGACTCTGACCTCAGGCTGTAGTCTGCCTCAGGGCGACTCTGACCTCAGGCTGTAGTCTGCCTCAGGGCGGACATGACTCTGACCTCAGGCTGTAAACTGCCTCAGGGCGACTCTGACCTCAGGCTGTAGACTGCCTCAGGGCGACTCTGACCTCAGGCTGTAGTCTGCCTCAGGGCGGACATGACTCTGACCTCAGGCTGTAGACTGCCTCAGGGCGACTCTGACCTCAGGCTCTAGTCTGCCTCAGGGCGGACACGACTCTGACCTCAGGCTGTAGTCTGCCTCAGGGCGACTCTGACCTCAGGCTCTAGTCTGCCTCAGGGCGGACATGACTCTGACCTCAGGCTGTAGTCTGCCTCAGGGCGGACACGACTCTGACCTCAGGCTGTAGTCTGCCTCAGGGCGGACACGACTCTGAGCTTAGGCTGTAGTGTGCCTCAGGGCGACTCTGACCTCAGGCTGTAGTCTGCCTCAGGGCGGACATGACTCTGACCTCAGGCTGTAGTCTGCCTCAGGGCGACTCTGACCTCAGGCTGTAGACTGCCTCAGGGCGGACACGACTCTGACCTCAGGCTGTAGTCTGCCTCAGGGCAACTCTGACCTCAGGCTGTAGACTGCCTCAGGGCGGACATGACTCTGACCTCAGGCTGTAAACTGCCTCAGGGCGACTCTGACCTCAGGCTGTAAACTGCCTCAGGGCGACTCTGACCTCAGGCTGTAGACTGCCTCAGGGCGACTCTAACCTCAGGCTCTAGTCTGCCTCAGGGCGGACATGACTCTGACCTCAGGCTGTAGTCTGCCTCAGGGCGACTCTGACCTCAGGATGTAGTCTGCCTCAGGGCGACTCTGACCTCAGGCTGTAGTCTGCCTCAGGGCGGACACGACTCTGACCTCAGGCTGTAAACTGCCTCAGGGCGACTCTGACCTCAGGCTGTAGACTGCCTCAGGGCGACTCTGACCTCAGGCTGTAGACTGCCTCAGGGCGACTCTAACCTCAGGCTGTAGTCTGCCTCAGGGCGACTCTGACCTCAGGCTGTAGTCTGCCTCAGGGCGGACACGACTCTGACCTCAGGCTGTAGTCTGCCTCAGGGCGACTCTGACCTCAGGATGTAGTCTGCCTCAGGGCGGACATGACTCTGACCTCAGGCTGTAGTCTGCCTCAGGGCGGACATGACTCTGACCTCAGGCTGTAAACTGCCTCAGGGCGACTCTGACCTCAGGCTGTAGTCTGCCTCAGGGCGGACACGACTCTGACCTCAGGCTGTAGTCTGCCTCAGGGCGACTCTGACCTCAGGATGTAGTCTGCCTCAGGGCGGACACGACTCTGACCTCAGGCTGTAGTCTGCCTCAGGGCGGACATGACTCTGACCTCAGGCTGTAAACTGCCTCAGGGCGACTCTGACCTCAGGCTGTAGTCTGCCTCAGGGCGGACATGACTCTGACCTCAGGCTGTAGTCTGCCTCAGGGCGGACATGACCAGAGTGGCTCTGGAGCAGCGCAGCGTCTGCCACAGATTTACGGAGAAACAGATGGTCACACATGTAGAAAGTAAACCGGGTGTATTTGTATAGCGCCTTCACAGAGCAGGATCACAAAGCACTTCACATAAAAAAAAAAAACATACAGATGAAAATAATAGACACAAAAGTCAGATTAAAAATCGAAGAAACAGAAGAAGGTCCTCTTCATGATCTGTGATTTATTCGAAATGTGCGTGTTTCCAGAGTGCTCGAGTTTTTCCGATGCGCAAATTCAAATTTAGAAACATGACGCTCAATGAAAACGCAGCTTATAATTGGAAATATGTTTATTGTTGTCCAAATCTTGAAATTCATGCGTGTTTTGGCGTGTTGTGATGAAGGGTGAAATGAGCCTACACATTTACACCACCTATTGACTTGGTGTATAATCGGTGCGTACCGTAGGCTCACGTCCTGTTTGACAAATGCCCAAAAGTCTACATTTTTTGCGTACGCCTCATTTACACCCTGATTTGGCCGTACGCAAGTTTCATAGATGATGCCCAATGAGATGAAATCCCCCGGGGCCTAGACGCTGGTGTTGGGAGCGAAGAGGAGACAGAGCTGGTCCGGCTGAGGAGGCAGAGATGGGGAGGAGGAGGGTTGCTGCATGAATGAAAGCCTCCTGTACGATGTCAGTGCGGCGCTGCAGCTGAGTGTGATTGACAGATGCCGTTTCCACAGCGACAGGACTAAGCTCAGTTGTTCCAGACTGAACCTCGGCGTTAGCTTCATGTGTCTCAGCCTCTTCTCTTGCTTAACTCTTCACACATCTCTTGTTAGCATTATTAGGTTATTAGCCTGTTGTTAGCATTATTTCTAGCATGGTATTTGCGTGTCATTAGCCTGTCATTAGCCTTTTGTTAGCATGTCATTAGCCCGTTGTTAACATGTCATTAGCCTGGTGCTAGAATGTCATTAGCATGCCTTTAGCCTCTTCATTGTGTTCCAGAGGTCCTTCACGGCGATCGTTGAGGCCTGGGACTGGGACAACGACACACACAGCCGCACAGGTGAGAACAGGAGCACTGTGTGTGTGTGTGTGTGTGTGTGTGTGTGTGTGTGTGTGTGTGTGTGTGTGTGTATGTGTGTGTGCACTTGTTTTCAACTCCTGGTGGGGTCCATAACCTGAGATTCCGCTCACGTCATGGGTACTGGTTTTACGTGGTGGGGCCCGAACACCGGACCCCACTGGTCCAAGCTTAATAATCAATGGGTAATGCTTTTCTAACGGTCCTTATGCAGTCTCTGTAAAAATATGGAAAGGACCCCTGGAGGTTTACTTTCCTGAAAAAAGTGTGTTATGTGTCGGAACCCTGGTGGTGGGTTGCGGGATATCAAGGAGGGGCACACTGGGGCAATTTCAGTCCAGCAGGCTGGAGCCAATCATGGAGCAGCACAACAGAGGAAGTCAGGTGTCAGGCTAGAAAAAGGTGCAAGTGTGTGGTTCATTAGGCTGCAGCCAATCACAGAGCAGCACACTGAAGCGCACGCTTACAAACCACTGGTAAGTGCTGACTACAAGTCATGACTTCAAATTGTTATATAGAATTATTACAAATTATTTGTTGTTTGTGCAGCTTAGTCAAGAGTCCCTAATTGATGAAGTCGACTCAGATTCTGACGATTTAACTGTCAGGAAGAAACCTGTAAAAAAGTATGGAAAAAGAAAAATCAAAAACACTTTTCTTCAAGACTCGGAAAGTGACGAACCAAAGGCAAATAAGATTGTTATCATGCAGCTGCAAAAGAAGAAAAATGGGGGGCGAGTTTATAGCAAGAGGCACTTCTGCCTCTACTGTTCAATGTCCTGCCACAAAATGTCCCGTCATTTGACTAGAAAACATGGAAATGAAAGTGACGTAGCCAGAGCATTGGCTCTACCTGTGAAATCTAAAGCACGTAAACATCAGTTTGATTTGATCAGGAATAGTGGAAACCGTGAGCACAATTTTGAGGTTTTAAAGGCCGGCATTGGAACTTTAGTCCCAGCTAAACAGCCAAATTGCCCAGTTAAATCCAGTGAGTTTTTGCACTGTATAGACTGTGGGGCATTGCTTAAGCGAAAGTCGCTGTGGAGGCATGTGGCCAGGTGCCGGCTTTCACTGAAAGATGCCCAGGCTAAACCAGGCTAAACCAGGTAGAAGTAGGGTCCAGTCCCTCTGCTCCCTAGCCCAGCCTGTACCGGAGGGCATCAGCAAAAAGCTGTGGTCTTTAATTTCGGCAATGCATCAGGATGAGGTCACGGGTGTTGTCAAAGCAGAAAAGGGGATTCTGAGACTCGGAGAGCACCTGTACTTAAAACACGGGCATGATAAGACTAAGCATGATTACATTAGGCAGAAAATGAGAGAAGTCGGTAGGTTAATTAACGAAGCAAAAAACTGCAGGGAAACTGAAAACAATTAAGGATTTCTTTATTCCTTCCAACTTTAACCATGTGATTGATGCAGTCAGGTCTGTGGCTGGATATGATGAGGAAACAAATCAATACAAGACTCCATCCTTGGCCCTCAAACTCGGCCATAGCCTCAGAAAGCTAGCAGATATTCTTGAATGTGACTCAAAAATGGAGCATTGTGTTGATGAACTATTTATTAAAAACCTCCAACGAAGCCGGCTGCTTTTTGAGAAGAGGTGGGACGTCTGTGTTTCTTCTGCTGCCCTACAGACCCTCCGGCAAGCCAAGTGGAACACTCCGGACCTGCTCCCTCTGACTGAGGACGTTAGAGCCATGCATGCACATATTGAGGTATGTCGACCTGAATATGTGCAAACCCTAATAAGTGAGCCAACGTCTAAGCATTGGTCTAAACTGGCAGTTTTGACTCTTTGTGAGGTCATTATTTTCAATCGAAGAAGGGAAGGTGAGGTTTCAAAGATGCCACTGACAGCGTTCACCTTAAGAAGTAAGACTGGGATCCATTCTGACATTGCTCTGGGACTGTCCGAACTTGAGAAAAAGCTGTGTCAACATTTTCAACGCATTGAAATTAAAGGGAAAAGAAGTCGCAAAGTGCCGGTTCTTTTGACTCCTGAAATGATTGCTTCGATGGAGGTGCTGGTGGAGAACAGAAGGGCCTGTTCCATCTCTGACCATAACCCATACTTCTTTTCCCGCCCGGGCGCAGACACCCACATCAGGGGATCAGACTCCCTACGCCAGGTAGCCAAAGAATGTGGTGCGGTGCATCCAGAGATGCTATCCTCAACCAAACTTAGAAAGCACATAGCTACTATGTCTACAGTTCTCAATATGAAAGAGAATGAGATGGACATACTTGCCAACTTCCTCGGCCATGACATTCGCATCCACAGGCAATATTACAGACTACCAGAGGGGACACTGGAGCTGGCCAAAATCAGCAAAGTGTTGATGGCCATGGAGCAGGGAAGAGTGACGGAATTCAAAGGAAAGAGCCTCGACCAGATACAAATTGAGCCTGAAGGTAATTCTTGATATTATTAAAAATATGTATGATTTTTTTCCCCTAAAGGCCACTTGTATTTTTATTTTCTGTGCGACAGGGAGAGCAGTAGAGATCCTCTCACAAACGGACGGGCTAAAAGAAACTTCAAGCGGAGAACCTTCAACCATTCATCCAGATGCACCCCATGGTAGTGGCAGTGCCCCTTCTGGTAAGTGTACCAGGTGGGGGATTACAGCCAGGCTGCTTGGTCCTAACCCTGGGAGTGTATATTGCTAATATATTTTTATTTCTCTCTCTAGAACGTTAGAGAAAGCCATGGTCTGCATCTGAGGTGAAGGCTGTGGAGAAGACCATGACGCCTTTCATACAGACTGGAAAAGTCCCTGGGAAGTCTCACTGCCTGGCCTGGCCTGGCCTGGCCTGCATTAATGCCTCACCAGATGACCTTAGACATCGGACATGGAGTGGCATCAAATTCTATGTCAAAAATAGAATCACTGCAATTCGAAAAAAAAATCAAAAATAAAATTCCTTTAAAAGAGTTGTTTGTTTTCTATTGACTGTTTTGTATTACTTAAAGTAGTCCCAGAAAAAAAGATTATGTCTATGGGTCCCATTCTGAACGGCCCTGTCAAAGGGACCCACCAGGTAACAAAAACGTGTATGTGTGTGTGTGTGTTAGTGTGTGTGTGTGTGTGTGTTAGTGTGTGCGTGTGTGAGACCATTGATCATTGGTCAGATTATCTCACTCCAATCCTCTTAACAGAACAAACCACTATCTGCCTCTTTGGACTGAGAGCTGATTGGCTGAGAGAGCCCTGTCTCTCTGTTCTATTGTTACGTACCTCAGCTTTACGGTGGTTACCAGGTGTGTTGTGGATCTGGCAACCTCCTCGTCCCCTCAGGGCTGTGGCTCCTGGTTGGTTTCGGTTCCATATTTTTGGGTGAAAGTGTGACGTCATGAACAAGCTCTGTCCTGCCTCCTGCTCTATGTGTGTCAGAGAGAGAGAGACCAGAGAGAGACCAGAGAGAGACCAGATAGAGACCAGAGAGAGACCAGAGAGAGAGACCAGAGAGAGAGCAGAGAGAGACCAGAGAGAGAGACCAGAGAGGGAGACCAGAGAGAGACCAGAGAGAGAGACCAGAGAGAGAGACCAGAGAGAGAGACCAGAGAGAGAGCAGAGAGAGAGCAGAGAGGGAGCAGAGAGAGACCAGAGAGAGACCAGAGAGAGAGACCAGAGAGAGAGACCAGAGAGAGAGACCAGAGAGAAGTCGCAAGGCGGGTTGGATGCCCGTGTCGTGTTTGCATAAGTCTCAGCTGTGTCATCAGTTGAATACATTCATCCGATTATTCTGATTGTTTGGGTTGAGCTGCTCTAAGTCTGAGAGATTTTGAACCGCAAAGTGAGTAGCTTTGACTGCAGACGCTGCTCCCTCTTCCTCAGTACGGTCCCACAGCTGGCTCTGATGGTGAAGCTGGACGGTACGGGAGGATTCCACAGCTGCAGGAGCGAGGCCGAGGCTTTATCAGCAACAGATCCATCTCTGGGTCTGAGTTACTCTTCACTTTCATATTCACTTCAATGGATTCGCCCTAAATCACCTCTCAGAGGACTTTACAAAGTTGTCGATTGGCCAACAACAGATCAGAGAATCAAACAGAACACAGGAAATGTGATAGTAACAAACAGATTGGAGCCAGGACTGAGGCTGTAGACCCAGGACTGAGGCTGTAGACCCAGGACTGAGGCTGTAGACCCAGGACTGAGGCTAAAGACCCAGGACTGAGGCTGTATAGACCCAGGACTGAGGCTGTATAGACCCAGGACTGAGGCTGTAGATCCAGGACTGAGGCCCTGTTTATACTGAGACTCTGCGCAGACGTTTCCAGGCTATTATCAGAAACGACCTGGCTCCTAATGCAAATTTCTCAGCGTTCACATGAGGTTGAAAAACGATGTAGTTCTAGCGCCCGGCCAGTAGTGGGCAGAGAAACTTTACAACACTCACACGACCCTCAGCCCCGTGCCCAGCCCCCCTCTCGGCAGTGTACTCACTCCCTGTTCCAGACATTCAGAACGCACCAGCATCATTCTGCATTTTAACAGCAGCTGTGAACATGGAAACTGAACCTAGAGCTTCGCGTGGTCTCGTTTGGACGAACGAAGGAGTAGAATTATCCTCCGTGCCGCGCTGGAAGCCCACGAAGCTAGTTAGTGTGACCGCCGCCATTAGTGATGGGTAAATGAAACCTCACGTATCGTTTCGGCACATCCAACGAACTGTGTTGATACTGTGCCGCAACAGTGTTGCTTGTGCTGCTCTATACTGACGCCTGGTGGATCTGATAAATCATTGCATCCAACTCACTGATTCAATGAGCTTTACATACTTGTCTGCACACAATATTACGTAACTGCACTGTCTGTATTATTTTATTTTATGTGAAAATTAAAGTGATAGTTGTGAATGTATTCATTAAGCAAAATGTCATTGATTGTTTTTTTGTTTTGTTTTTTATTTTCAAAACAATAAGCATGTCAAAAGTGCACTGTAAACCCTGGCAACTAAAGTATACTTGAAAAAACCTTTGACATTTTCTGCACTTCAATTTCTCAAAATTATTCTTCAAGACTGTGATGTCAACATAAACTTTTGAAGTCCGACAGGGATTCGTACCCAGTTCTCTCAAACGCGAGGCGAGAGCGCTATCCACTCATCCACCATGCCTAACTAGATTTTGCGTTTCAAACTAAAGCTGGATTGTAGATAAAGCGTGAAATGTAAAATACAAACATTGCCTTATTTGCTGTTATTTGCAGTATCACACTGCAGAATACTTTCTTTTAGTTGCAGGTTCCATTTTTTATGCTGTAAAATGGGATGTTTTTTCTTTTAGAAAGGGTTATTTTCTTTTTCTGAGAGCGGATCATACCGGTGACACTTGCAGATGCGGAACCTTTTAAACACAGTTTGCCGTGTCGGTGACAAGCGACACTGCGGCTGTATCGGTCACGTGGCTTTTTCATAAAGCGACACGCGCGCCGATACGAGGTTTCGCTAAACGAACTCGGCACATGCGCCGGTGTATCAGTGTTGCTGGACCCATCACTAGCCGCCATTGTTGTTGATGTTTGTTCTCCGCTACTGCGCATGTCCAAATTTACGTGCGGGGAGCAGCGCGGAGGCGGGGGTCAGAGCAGAGGGGGATTTCACACCTTTTCCCCTCTCGCGGGTGTGAAAGAGCTCCCTGCTGTGCAGCGTTTCTGAGTTGTCCCACTCTGCAGGCTGGATCTGAACACTTACGTTTTCACCCCCCTGAAACACAGTCTTTGTATGAACGGTTGGTAGCAACCGACATCCAACTATACCGTTTTACTGCCACATTGTCTCCGTGTAAACTCAGCCTGAGGCTGTAGATCCAGGACTGAGGCTGTAGACCCAGGACTGAGGCTGTAGATCCAGGACTGAGGCTGTAGATCCAGTTCACAGATACAGGTTGGAGAAGCCTGGTTCCATCATCTATGAAAACAGGAGAGAGGAGACGAATGTGTGTCTGTGTCTGTATGTGTGTGTGTGTGTGTGTGTTTTCCCCATGGTCTGTATACCTGCTCCCTCTCCACATCGCCCTGAAGTCTCCGTGTTGGTTCCTCTGTGATGTCATATTTCTGCTGCTGGTTTGTGCCTGGACACATTCCTCTGATCATGACATCATCGTTCTTTGATAAAGTGATTTATATTTGTGGCAGCCGCGGGCGACGCAGCAGGGCGGGTGTGGCAGCTCAGGCAGGGAGGCTCTGATGGAGCTAGATGTATATGTATATGCTATATATGTAGCTGTTTCTCCCTCTAGTCTCTCTCTGGTCTCTCTCTGGTCTCTCTCTCTGGTCTCTCTCTGGTCTCTCTCTGGTCTCTCTCTCTGGTCTCTCTCTGGTCTCTCTCTGGTCTCTCTCTCTGGTCTCTCTCTGGTCTCTCTCTGGTCTCTCACTGGTCTCTCTCTGGTCTCTCTCTGGTTTCTCTCTCTGGTCTCTCTCTGGTCTCTCTCTGGTCTCTCTCTGGCCTCTCTCTGGTCTCTCTCTGGTCTCTCTCTGGTCTCTCTCTGGTCTCTCTCTGGTCTCTCTCTGGCCTCTCTCTGGTCTCTCTCTGGTTTCTCTCTCTGGTCTCTCTCTGGTCTCTCTTTGGCCTCACTCTGGTCTCTCTCTGGTCTCTCTCTGGTTTCTCTCTCTGGTCTCTCTCTGGCCTCTCTCTGGTCTCTCTCTGGCCTCTCTCTGGTTTCTCTCTGGTCCGTCTCGCCGCACTCTTGCCTCTCTCTGGCCTCTCTCTGGTCTCTCTCTGGTCTCTCTCTGGCCTCTCTCTGGCCTCTCTCTGGTCTCTCTCTGGTCTCTCTCTGGTCTCTCTCTGGCCTCACTCTGGTCTCTCTCTGGTCTCTCTCTGGTCTCTCTCTGGCCTCACTCTGGTCTCTCTCTGGTCTCTCTCTGGTCTCGACATAAATAAAGTTGCTTCACTTCTTTTTCAGAGGAGGAGCAGCTGATTGGCCGCAGTGTGCAGAGAGCCACGTTGAGCCCTGGAGAGCAGAGCCCACCTGTAGAGCCGCCTGTAGAGCCGCCTGTAGAGCCGCCTGTAGAGCAGCGCACACACGGCTTCTCTCTGGACTTCAGCCTCAGTGTGCGCTGCGACCCGCACTACTACGGCCCACAGTGCAACCGCGTGTGTCGCCCCCGAGACGACTACTTTGGACACTACACCTGCGACACCAGCGGGACGCCCCAGTGCCGGCCCGGCTGGAGCGGGCCCCTCTGCAAGACCGGTGAGAGGGCTCAGATCTGGGGACTACAGACCAGAGAGAGGGCTCAGATCTGGGGACTACAGACCAGAGAGAGGGCTCAGATCTGGGGACTACAGACCAGAGAGAGGGGGTCAGAGCTGGGGACTACAGACCAGAGAGAGGGGGTCAGAGCTGGAGACTACAGACCAGAGAGAGGGATCAGATCTGGGGACTACAGACCAGAGAGAGGGGGTCAGAGCTGGAGACTACACACCGGAGAGAGGGGGTCAGAGCTGGAGACTACAAACCAGAGAGAGGGATCAGATCTGGGGACTACAGACCAGAGAGAGGGATCAGATCTGGGGACTACAGACCAGAGAGAGGGGGTCAGAGCTGGGGACTACAGACCAGAGAGAGGGGGTCAGAGCTGGGGACTACAGACCAGAGAGGACGGGTCAGAGCTGGAGACTACAGACCAGAGAGAGGGGGTCAGAGCTGGGGACTACAGACCAGAGAGGACGGGTCAGAGCTGGAGACTACAGACCAGAGACAGGTTGTCAGGGATTTAAAGCTGGGATACCTAAGCATCGGATTATAAACCAGGTCTAGCAGGACTGAACCAGGAGTAAACCAAGTCTAAATCATTTTCAAACCTATGATGCATTGGTTTTTATTGTTCTGGACTCACAAAGTCTCTTCACATTCTTTCTCTATAAACACTGTGGTGACAAACTACTACTGTAGCCACAGCTGCCCTGGGGCACACTGACAGAAGCGAGGCGACCAGTCTGTGCCATCAGCCCCTCCCACCACCACCAACCATTCACACACACACCAGACTCATTCTAATGTGGGGGAAGTGTCTTGCACAAGGACACAACCACAGTTTGTTACTTTACAGCCGCGGCCCCACACTGGTGTTCCCGGAGGTCTCCCATCACAGCACTTACCAGGCCCTGTCCTGCTGAGCTTCAGAAGTCTGATGGGATCTAGCTTTCACCCACTTCACTTTTACATATATACCAGAAAAATCCTTGTAAAAGTTAATTGTGAACAAACCAGACCACAGCATGACGTCTTCGTCTGAAACATCACTGTGAGTCACTGACTCTTCAGGCTGAGAGCTGATTGGCTGAGAGCTGATTGGCTGAGAGCTGATTGGCTGAGAGCTGATTGGCTGAGAGCTGATTGGCTGAGGGAGGGTGGTCCTCTGAAACTGTGACAGAAGCAGCAGATTTAGAGCCTGGGTTTATGACCCATTAGTTCTATTGTTGTGGTCTGAAAGTTACACACCCCAGCTTTAAAGCCACTCCCTGTAATGACAAGAGCAGATTGTGATGTCACATGTGCTTGTTGTTGCAGCGCTGTGTAAAGCCGGGTGCTCTCTGCTCCACGGGACCTGCAGCCTTCCAGGGGAGTGCAAGTGAGTCCAGACCCAGACCTAGGACCCAGGACCCAGGACCCAGGACCCAGGACACAGGACCCAGACCCTGATCCAGGACCCAGACTCTGATCCAGGACCCAGACTCTGATCCAGGACCCAGACCCAGACCCTGACCCAGCATCCAGACCCTGACCCAGACCCTGATCCAGGACCCAGACCCTGACCCAGGACCCAGACTCTGACCCACCATCCAGACCCTGACCCAGGACCCAGACCCTTGTTACTAATTAATCTAAGTCAACTCAAGTTCAGAGTTAGTTGGGTTGTGTGGAGTCAGCCTCAGTTTATTTGTATAGCACAGATCATACACAAAGTAACTCAAAGTGCTGAACAAAACTCCTTTGAGCTCGGTTTGAAGACCTGGTTCTGTGGCCTCCTCTGAGCTCGGTTTGAAGACCTGGTTCTGTGGCCTCCTCTGAGCTCGGTGTGAAGCCCTGGCGAAGTCTCTCTCCTGTCTGGACTCATCTCTGCTCCTGAGGCTCTTTGCGTGTTGCAGCTTTGGCTCATGATTCACTGAGAAACATGTGACGAAGCATTTCTGAACACAGAGGCCAGAGAGAGACCAGAGAGAGACCAGAGAGAGACCAGAGAGAGACCAGAGAGAGACCAGAGAGAGAGACCAAAGAGAGACCAGAGAAAGACCAGAGAGAGAGACCAAAGAGAGACCAGAGAGAGACCAGAGAGAGACCAGAAAGAGTCCAGAGAGAGAGACCAGAGAGAGACCAGAAAAGGACCAACCAGAGAGACCAGAGAGAGACCAGAGAGAGACCAGAGAGAGACCAGAGAGAGAGACCAAAGAGAGACCAAAGAGAGACCAGAGAGAGACCAGAGCGAGACCAGAGAGAGACCAAAGAGAGACCAGAAAGAGACCAGAGAAAGACCAGACTAATGGCTCATTGTAATATTGTTCTCATGGAACTTAGATTAAATTAACTTATCGCACCTTCTTCTGGTTTGAAAGAACCAAGTGAAGTTCTCTGCAGACTGAACCAACCTAAAACAATATGGCTCAGCTGAGACCGGGGTTATTCTGGTCCCTGAGCCTCGGAGCCTGCAGTCTGTGGTCACAGAGACATTTCCCTTCAGCCGCTGGGCTCACACCACACACCAACGCAACGTGACATCACCACAACAACGACTGTTTTTCTATTTTTGTGTTATAACATCATTGAGGCGAGAATTGCATGTGTGGGCTGCCTTGTAATTCATGCAAGGCAGCCCAGGAACTAACAGGAACTTATAGGAACTGAAGGCTTTGTGACAAGTAGAATGGGCAGATGTACTATCGCAGAGGAGAGCAGAGGGAGTCTAAGACCAGAGAGAGAGACCAGTGAGAGAGACCAGTGTGAGAGATTCCAGTGAGAGATCAGAGAGACACCAGAGAGCGAGACCAGAGAAAGACCAGAGAGAGACCAGAGAGAGAGAGAGACCAAAGAGAGAGATTAGAGAGAGACCAGAGAAAGAGACCAGAGAGACCTGAGGGAGACCAGAGAGAAACCAGAAAAGACCTTTTTTTTTTTTACATGAGCAACAAGAGAGAACAAATATGTTCATGATCTCATGGTCTAAGTTCTGCCACATGGTCAAAGGGACGGAGTGTGATCATCTCCTCTGTCTGTCTCCATTCATTAAAAAAACAATACAAGCAGATTATCCAATCAGAGAGCAGGATGAGGCTCTCCTTTTGGGTTACCAGACTTTTAGGTCAAATGTAGCTGTTTTTTGCTCTCAACTGGCCTCCTGCTGGGACTCTGAGGAGCACAGGGACTGGCCTCCTGCTGGGACTCTGAGGAGCACAGGGACTGGCCTCCTGCTGGGACTCTGAGGAGCACAGGGACTGGCCTCCTGCTGGGACTCTGAGGAGCACAGGGACTGGCCTCCTGCTGGTGACTCTGAGGAGCACAGGGACTGGCATCCTGCTGGGACTCTGAGGAGCACAGGGACTGGCCTCCTGCTGGTGACTCTGAGGAGCACAGGGACTGGCCTCCTGCTGGGACTCTGAGGAGCACAGGGACTGGCCTCCTGCTGGGACTCTGAGGAGCATAGGGACTGGCCTCCTGCTGGGACTCTAAGGAGCACAGGGACTGGCCTCCTGCTGGGACTCTGAGGAGCACAGGGACTGGCCTCCTGCTGGGACTCTGAGGAGCACAGGGACTGGCCTCCTGCTGGGACTCTGAGGAGCACAGGGACTGGCCTCCTGCTGGTGACTCTGAGGAGCACAGGGACTGGCCTCCTGCTGGTGACTCTGAGGAGCACAGGGACTGGCCTCCTGCTGGCCCAGAGTCAGGACTAAACATGGGGAGTCAACGTTTCAGATTCATGCATCTAAAATCTGGAACAGTCTTCTTGAAAACATGAGACAGACTTCTTCTCTGACAATCTTCAAATCTAGGTTCAGCACTTTGAGTATTCTTGTTTGTGAACCGTGCCATACGAATAAACTCGCCTAGCTTTATCCGCGCTGAGGGAGGCGTGTGTTGTTGGGACAGTCCTGAAATAGCTCGGTGGATGGGAGACGCGTGACAGGTGCAGGGGTCAGGACTCTACACAAACACAGACCTCACAAACCCACAGACCGCTGACCCCCGGAGCACAGTGTAGGGGTCATTAAAGCTCGGGGACGTAGCTTTCAAACCACAACAACAGATAAAACCCATGACTCTAGCTCCTGGATCTAAAACAGTTGCTTCTGTCACTAGTTTCATGTATCTCTGTCTCTGCCACAGCTTTAAATCTGCTTTTTCAGACCGAAAAGTGACAAAGAGAGACCACCCTCTCTCGGCCAATCAGCTCTTGTTCTGCACTTTGAGACCAGAGAGAAAAACCAGAGAGAGAGAACAGAGAGAAACCAGAGAGAGACCAGAGAAACAAGAACAAGACCAGAGAGACAGACCAGAGAGAGACCAGAGAGAGACCAGAGAGAGACCAGAGAGAGAGACCAGAGAGAGAGAGAGAGAGGCCAGAGAGAGACCAGAGAGAGAGAGACCAGAGAGAGAGGCCAGAGAGAGAGAGAGAGAGACCAGAGAGAGAGACCAGAGAGAGACCAGAGAGAGACCAGAGAGAGAGACCAGAGAGAGAGAGACCAGAGAGAGAGATCAGATTCAGATTCAGTTTATTTGCCATTTGCAGTAAAAAAAACACATTGGAATACATTAGCGAAAAGTCTCCAGTGTGCACAGATAAATACAGACATAAAACAACATTAAAAGACAAAAATAAAACAAATAAAACAGTAAACAAATGTCACTGTGAAATGGATCGACTAAAACAGTTTCAAAACAAGTGCAAATCATTAAAGTGCTCTGTTCACACTGATAACAGCTTGTGGATAAAAACTGTTAGCGTAACGAGATGTCCTGCATCTCAGAGAGCGATATCTTCTGCCAGAGGGAAGAAGCTGGAACATGGCTTTCCCAGGGTGGCCAGAAGAGTCATTGACGATCCTAAGAGCTTTGTTTAAAAGTCTGGATTTATAAAGAACCTCCAGAACAGGAAGCTCACAGCCCACGGTCCTCTTTGCAGAGCGGAGCACCTTGTTTAAAGCTCTCTTTTCTTTATCTGTGATGTTTCCAAACCACACAGACACAGAACCAACAAGTAAACTCTCAATGGTGCAGCGATAACAGTTAAGCACAATCTTACAGTTAGTGGTAAATTCTCTAAGTTTACGCAGAAAGTAGAGACGCTGACGAGCTTTCTTAACGACTCGGTCAGTGTTTTTAACCCATTTCAGGTTAGACAGAGTTAAACCCAGAAACTTGCACTCCTCTACGATCTGCACCTGGGAGTTGTCGATTACGACAGGCAAATGAGAACTATTGCGACTGAAGTCGTAGACCAGTTCACATGTTTTGGATGCGTTCAACTGGAGGTTGTTAGTTTGACTCCACTGAACCACATTTTGTATCTCTGCTCTATAAGAGGATTCATCAGTGTCACTGATGAGACCGATGATGGTGGCGTCATCAGCATATTTGATGATCAAGTTTGAGTCAGAGGAGGACACACAATCGTGAGTGTACAAAGTAAAGAGCAAAGTACTCAAAATACATCCCTGAGGAGAACCAGTGCTCACAGAAACAACATCAGAAAAACAGTCCTTGATTTTCACTCGCTGAGATCTGTCAGTTAAAAAGCTAAAAATCCATTTACACATGGCAACACTTAAACCGAGAGACATGAGCTTTTCAATCAGTTTGCCTGGGACAAGGCAGTTAAAAGCAGAGCTATAATCGATGAAAAGCATTCTCGCAGAGACCAGAGAGAGGCCAGAGAGAGACCAGAGAGAGACCAGATAGAGACCAGAGAGAGAGGCATTATTGTGACTGAGGGAGAGCTGAGTAGGTCTTCTCTGCAGTTTTTAACCCCTGTATCTTGCGTGTACAGGTGTAACTACGGCTGGCAGGGCCCTCTCTGTGACCAGTGCATCCCGTACCCCGGCTGTGTGCACGGCTCCTGCACCGTGCCCTGGAAGTGCGACTGCGACAGGAACTGGGGCGGCCTGCTCTGCGACAAAGGTGAACCTCAGCGGACTCAGACGTCTGTGGACCAGCCCCAAGTCCCTCTTCAAATATGACCACATTCATAACATGCATAAAGATAACGATTCAATCCTGGTTAAAGGGGACATATCATGAAAAATCCACTTTTTGTGCCTTAAATGCCTTATGTTGTGAAGTTGGAGCCTCTAGAAGTGCAAAAAAGTTGAAATCAGTCTCTTCATGGGTTGCAGAGAACACTTCATATTCTGTTTAGGTAAGATTTTTCAACCCGTTCTGATTTTGCCATTCTCTATTACGTGTTTAGAATTATTACGTCACAGTGTTTGCAGCGAGACATTTACGCCGCAGTGTTCCGGGGCATCTGCGGCCGCTTTGTAATGAGCGGCTTCCGCGTCCAGCGGCTGCGAGAGGCTGTGAGCGTCCAGCCGCTCGCAGCCGCTCCACCGTGTTGTGGCTCAGCGCGCAGCCTCAATGTGGCCATGTACCCAACCCCATAAACACGCACAGGACCATGCGTGTCTTTGAGTAATCTGTGCACCCAATAAATACACTGCTGCAGGAAACAGTCCGCGTCTCCCTCTCCTCTCGAAGCGCGATTAAACACCCTAAATAAAGCTCTGATACCTACATTTTGCATTGAATAAAAAGTTCATGTTTGAGCCCAAAAGTAATATGTTGTGAACAAATTAAACAGATTTAGAGCCAGCAAATGGCTGACAATATGCATTTCAGTCTTTTTTGACCAATTCTCATCCCTGTAACAAACAATAGTGTTGTCTGTGTCCACCTCCCTCACTCTGAGACATGTTTATTACCCTCTTTTAATGTAGACTATTGCATTTTATTTTATTGTTGAAACTGCACATATCCTGATCCTCTACAGTATTTGCTTCCACATACTGTATAAACTAGGAGTCGGCAACCTGCGGCTCCGGAGGTGCGTGCGTCTCTTTCCTTCTGTAGAAGGAAAAACGTTCTTAACGTTTTTAAATGCTGTAAAATTGTACATAAGTAATATTCAATTTAAACATTTCTGTCAACGTAGTGTGTCATATCCTGCGACGTAGGATATGAGGCGTGTGAGCATCATAGACTGTGCGCATGGATCCCAAAGCTAAAAAGAGAAGAGTCGATAATAAGACTGGACTAAGAATGAAAATTAACATTTGCTTTCAGTCAATGAGGAAGGCCTGCTTCATGTTTGCGATTTAATGAGAAGTTTCTATGAGATAATTGTATCTGTGCTTAGAAACTACAAAAATGGCCGCTCGGGGTGGAGTTGAACCTGTGTCACCTGGATGGGGGGGTGGTCAAAAGCGCCTCATTTGCATTTAAAGAGACAGAGTTTTTGAAAAAGAAGCCGGCTTTTATTTGAGAAAATAAATAAATAAATAAAAGCGTTCAATATTCAAAGTGTCGGTACCAACAATGTTCTCTTTAACAACCTTATTTTCACAGTAACAGTTGTTATTAATTCTTACCTGGGTGCACCCATCTAATACAAATCAAGTTTCACATTAAAACACAACAGTGCATGAACCTTCCAAAATGTTTGCAACAATAAAATAAAATAAACAACTAAAATATGATATTTATGTTTTAATAAAGCCATATTTAAATGTGGGTAACACAGGGGTTTATTAGATTAGTTCCACATACAACTCTGAAGACTATAAGATAAATTATATTTACTGCTGCTGAACAGAAATGTGGTTAGGATTTGTTTTAGCCCCCGACAGAGACCTGTGATGATGCAGAAGGGAAATGAAGATAGAGATAATGAGATGAAATCCCTGGGGCCTGGACCCTGGTGTTGGGAGCGAGGAGGAGACAGAGCTGGTCCGGCTGAGGAGGCGGAGATGGGGAGGAGGGGGGTTGCAGCATGAATGAAAGCCTCCTGTATGATGCCAGTGCGGTGCTGCAGCTGACTGTGATTGACAGATGCTGTTTCTGCAGGGACAGGAGGACTGAGCTCAGTTGCTCCAGATAAACTTGATATAGGGAGATGCTTAATTGTTACAAGATGAGGATTGTCAGTGCGGCGCTGCAGCTGAGTGTGATTGACAGATGCTGTTGCCGCACCGACAGGAGGACTGAGCAGCGTAGTTCTTCTGTCCTCCAGACTGAACCTCTGCTTTAGATTCATGAGTCCTTCTAGAGTCAGTTGTGTTGAAGTGAGACAGAGGCCGTGGCTCCACAAACAGGGCTGGTCTCAGAGGGCTAGGTTCATCCAGAGACACTGGCCTCTTTTCCCGCCTCATAAAGCAGACGGACGTGTTAGCAGATGTCCCTGTCGATCAAATGTTCATTATTGTAACGGTTCATGTTGACTTTGTGTTTAAGACTGACCATACCCCCTCATTCTATACAACTAAAACAACTACAACCACAGCTACAGCTACAAATACAACTAGAACAACAACTACAACTAAAACAACTACACCTAAACTACAACTACAACAACCACAACTACAAATACAACCAGAATTACAACTAGAACAACTACAACTACACCTAAACTACAATTACAACAACCACAACTACAAATACAACCAGAATTACAACTAGAACAACTACAACTACACCTAAACTACAATAACAACTACAACTAAAACAACCACAACTACAACTACAACCACAATAACAACTAAAACTAAAACAACTACAACTACAAATACAACCAGAATTACAACTAGAACAACTACAACTACAACCATAATAACAACTACAACTGAAGCAACACATCAAAGCTGTGTCTGTAGATCCTCTGTCGTTCCTCACTGAGATGTTTGTGCAGACCTGAACTACTGCGGGAGGAACCGGCCGTGTCAGAACGGAGGCACCTGCCTGAACACAGAGCCGGACGAGTACCAGTGCGCCTGTCCCGAGGGCTACTCCGGGAAGAACTGTGAGATCGGTGAGAAGCCTCCTGTACATTTCAGTGTTGCATCGCAGGTTACAGAACAGTCGTAATGAGGAGTACAACATCCTAAGGACAACTAAACACCAAGCAACTTTTTGAATTCATAAACTGCATACATGTGTTTCTTACAGTGCTCTCGACACTGTCCTGGTACATTTTTGGACATTTTAGTGCAAATTAGTTAAATTGTCACTTTTGAGTTGAAAGCTGTCTGTGTGGCGCCCTCGCTACCTTTTCGGTGGTACTACATTTGAAATTGGTGCCTGGCCTCTCCATTGGCTCTGGAGTGTAGTTTGACATCACTTTGTGTTCTGTGAAGTCTCTCTGTGCCTGTGGTATAAAAGCAGCCAAGTCTCACACAAGCCCCAATAGCGAGTTGGAGTATTCAGGCAACATCTAGTGGTTTAAAATTAAATTACATCAGTTGAGAACCACAACTGCTGAGATAATTCTGTGGTTTAGGTTCAGGTGCCTAGCAACAATTATCTTAGTGTGTAAACAAGAGTGGAATGAGAAGTTCTGGTGTGTAAACTATTCTTTAAGTAGCAATAACAACTGTCTGATCTTATTGTGTGGGCTGTGATTGACAAGCGAGCTGTCAATCATAGCCCAGACCATGCCCAACTCTAAAGTAGTAAAGTCTCCTCATTACAGTCTATGGTTTTCAGATGATTTGGTTTTAAAGTTTTGAGTTTATGATTCTGCTCCGGAGGTTAGTTGTTGGGTGGATTGGTGCTGTACATGATCTGTAATAATATAGATATTTTTGTGTGTGTGTGTGTGCGTGTGTGTGGTCCCCAGCGGAGCACGTCTGTGTGTCCAGTCCCTGTGCTAATGGAGGCACCTGTCATGAAGGCCCCAGTGGCTTTGAGTGTCAGTGTGAGCGCGGCTGGAGCGGACCCACCTGTGCCACCGGTAAAACATCTGGAACACATCCGTATCGTCTCATTACATGTCTCTCCAACTGTCTTTGTGAAATGTGTGTTGCTGCCCTCTGCTGTTTCTGTTATTTGTCGCATGGCGCTGGAAAAATGGCGCCGTTTCAAGGGAAAAATGAGTTGATAAAATCAACTAATTTATTAATTCCATGGAGACTCCCATCACAGCACTAACCAGGCCCTGCACTGCTTATCTTCTGACAAGTGATGAGTTTACGTATTGCCGCTGTATGTGCTATATCTAAACATGTCTGCTGTCTGAGTCTGGGTCTGGTCTGGTCCTGGTCTAGTCTAGTCTGGTCTGGGTCCTGGTCCTGGTCCTGGTCTTGAACGCTGGTTTCTTGTGCTCTCAGACATAGATGACTGTGAGTCTGCTCCCTGTGGTCACGGAGGAACCTGCATCGACCTCCTGCACGGATACGAGTGTCTGTGCCCAGAGCAGTGGAGCGGCTCCAGCTGCGAGACCGGTAACAACTACAACTAAACTACAGTCACAACTACAACCACAACTACAGTCACAACTACAACTAAACTACAGTCACAACTACAACTAAACTACAGTCACAACTACAACCACAACTACAACTAAACTACAGTCACAACTACAACTAAACTACAGTCACAGCTACAACCACAACTACAACTAAACTACAACCACAACTACAACTAAACTACAGTCACCACTACAACTAAACTACAGTCACAACTACAGTCACAACTACAACTAAACTACAGTCACAACTACAACTAAACTACAGTCACCACTACAACTAAACTACAGTCACAACTACAACCACAACTACAACTAAACTACAGTCACAACTACAACTAAACTACAGTCACAGCTACAACCACAACTACAGTCACAACTACAACTAAACTACAGTCACAACTACAACTAAACTACAGTCACAACTAAACTACAACCACAACTACAACTAAACTACAGTCACAACTACAACCACAACAACAGTCACAACTACAACTAAACTACAACCACAACTAAACTACAGTCACAACTACAACTAAACCACAACTAAACTACAACCACAATTACAACTAAACTACAGTCACAACTACAACCACAACAACAGTCACAACTACAACTAAATTACAGTCACAACTACAACTAAACTACAACTGCAACTACAACTAAACTACAGTCACAACTACAACTAAACCACAACTACAACTAAACTACAACCACAACTACTACTAAACTACAGTCACAACTACAACCACAACTACAGTCACAACTACAACTAAACTACAGTCACAACTACAACTAAACTCCAACCGCAACTACAACTAAACTACAACTACAACTAAACTACAGTCACAACTACAACTAAACTACAGTCACAACTAAACTACAACCGCAACTACAACTAAACTACAGTCACAACTAAACTACAACCACAACTACAACTAAACTACAACCACAACAACAACTAAACTACAGTCACAACTACTATACTAGATATATTATAAATGCCCCTGTCTGGACTGTGCCCCTTGAAGTGACACTCGATATCTCCAGAGTAAAGATAAATTTAGCTTCCCGCCCGGCAACTGCCACCTCCCCCCGTCTTAAAATACTGCAGTACTATGAAGTACTCTGAGTGGTGAGGCCTCAAAATACTGCAGTAGTATGAAGTACTATGACTGGTGAGGCCTCAGAATACTGCAGTAGTATGAAGTACTATGAGCCATGTGTCCTCAGAATACTGTAGTAGTATAAAGTACTATGAGCCATGCGTCCTCAGAATACTGCAGTAGGATGAAGTACTATGAGCCATGCGTCCTCAGAATACTGCCGTAGTATGAAGTACTATGAGCCATGTGTCCTCAGAATACTGCAGTAGTATGAAGTACTATGAGCCATGTGTCCTCAGAATACTGCAGTAGTATGAAGTACTATGAGCCATGTGTCCTCAGAATACTGTATTAGTAGAAAAGTACTATGAGCCATGCATCCTCAGAATACTGCGGTATTATGAAGTACTACGAGCCATGCGGCCTCAGAGTACTGCAGTTGTATGAAGTACTATGAGCCATGCGGCCTCAGAGTACTGCAGTAGTATGAAGTACTATGAGCCATGCAGCCTCAGAATGCTGCAGTAGAATGAAGTACTATGAGCCATGTGTCCTCAGAATACTGCAGTTGTATGAAGTACTATGAGCCATGTGTCCTCAAAATACTGCAGTACTGTGAGAGCTGTGTCCCTACATGTGTGTGTTCATGTGTTCATGTGTGTGTTCACGTGTGTTTTTATGTGTTCATGTGTGTGTTCATGTGTTCATGTGTGTGTTCATGTGTAGGGCTGAAACAACTAATCGATTAATCGACGACTAATCGATTATTGAAATAGTCGACAACTATTTTAGTAATCAATTAATCGTTGTCTGGTTCACACGGACTCAAACAGAGCAAAAATGACATGAAAATGTAGTATTTTTGATTAAAACAGACTTTGTTTTTATAATTTCATGAATATCTCATGTCTCAATATCTGTCTGTCTCATCCAATCCCCACTAAACATCCGACGTCCACTCAACCTCCAGATCACGTCAAAATCGCGTCGGTCGGTCGTGACCTTTTATTTACGTCCAAACGACGTCTGTGCAAGGTGCGCATCTGGACGTAAAACAATGACCTCCCATATACGTGGATATGACGTTCAATCCCGACCTCCCCTAGACGTTGAAAACAGGTCATCGGCCGACCGACGCAGTACGTCTTGATCTAGCAATACAATATATAGGCTGTGAAGCGATCTCAGTGTACCTGACGGTAGTGTAGTGGTTAAGCAATTGTGTGCAGCCTTGGTTACGTGGGTTCGAGCCCACGTGTGTGTATTATTATCTTTACATATTTGTTTTGATTTTTAACGAACAATTTTTTTCTGTTTGGTTAAAGACTAATAAACACTCAACATAGGATTACGTAGTGGCTAATAATAAAACTTGTGAATGTATGCATTTGTTGTGCTAACAATCTCAAGTTTGCAAATAAGGGGTGAGCACTTGAGATTTTATGCAAATGCATGGGTTCACAAGTTTTATTATTAGCCACTACATAATCTTATGTTGAGTGTTTATTCGTTTTTAACCAAACAGAAAAATTGTTTGCTAACAAGTGAAAAGTCAAAAGTTTTCCGACGGAGATTTGAACCTGCGTCGTTGCGACTGAAGTCTCATTACGCAACCGCTAAGCCACGGCCAGGCATGTTTCTGACTACTGTGAAAAAATAATAGATAACACCCTAAACAACCGACGCACACTTGTGCGCCGCGCAAGTATAACTTAGGCTTTACAGCCTGACACGTGAGTCGCTCGGTCGAGGACTTGTTTTCCACGTCTAAACGACGTAAGGTGTGCATCTGGACGTAAAGCAATGCCTTCCCAGACGTTGATATGACGTTGAATCTGTACCTCTGTCGCTGCCCTGCTTTATTTACTTGGAATCATCCTCTCTAGTAAGTACACAGTCTGCACAGTTTTATGATATAGATGTATCATTTCCACATTGAAAAGAGTTGGAGACAGAAACTCAGTTGTTTTCTCACGTATACGTGGATTTTGTTAAGTATATTTTGTATATTATCTGTATTTTGAATTGCCAGTGCATGAATCTATAATAATAACGGCTGGCACTGCTCAGCTGAAAGGGAGACACCTTTTTTTTTTTTTTTTAGTTTTTAAGTTAAAGTTTAAAATATGATATTGTTTTTCATATTTCAAACTATTTTTAACACATTAAAATTCTTAGGTTAGACTGTCCAACAAAGTATGTGTTAAAAAAGGTTAAGATTCTTGAGTTTTAAAATAATAATTCAATTCTAAAATGTAAAGTTACTGTATATTTCACAATGGTTTATAAACTGCAAAAAGACAACAGTACTTAGTAAACTAAGTTTAAAAACAGGGAGATCAGCTTTACTATTTGGGACACTCCCATCATTTAGACAACTGTGATGTCATCAGTTGGAGTTGAGTTCAGGTGTGGGACCAGCTGACCGGGTGAGCGGCATGCGGTGATGGCTGCGACGTCTGCGGGAAAAAATGGTCGGAGAAATGCGGCAAATTCAAACCTGGTTAACAATCCACCCTTGGCGGCGGTTGAGCACGACTGTTCCGTGAGTGGGTCAGCTTTGGGCAGCGGGGGGGATCTCATTGACTTAGAAGAGGAGGAGGGCATGTCTACGGAGCTACTGCTAAATGAGAAGAGAAGGGAAAAGCGTAAGAGAAATGGCAGTAGTAATAGTAGTGGTGGTGAGGATTCTTTCCCAACTAGGGAGACAACAAAAATGTTTGTAATTTTGAGATTTAATGAAAGAGTGCAGATTAATGTTAAAAAGCTGAGTCCGTTCATTTTGACTGCTGAACTTAACAGCAGAGTGGGAGATATAATTTCTGCTAAAGTGCTGTCGGATGGAAATCTGCTTGTCCAATGTGCAAACGACGAACAGCTCAATAAGGCGTTGAACTTAAAGCAGTTGGGGAAGTTTAAAGTGGATAATGTTGGGCAAGTGGGTGCACAGAAAGGAGGGGGGTGTAAAGGAGTAATCTCTGGGGTACCCATTAGTGTGAAAATGGATGACCTGAAGAATAAAATCAAAGGAGGAAAAGTGATTTCAGTGGACCGAATGAAAGCATCTAACGGAGGAACTAAGGTGGATAGTGAAAGTATCCTGATTCATTTTGAAGAAAGTAGTCTGCCGAGGAAAGTGTTTTTGGGTTTCATTAGTTTTCCAGTGAGAGCCTATATTCCGAAACCATTGAGGTGCTTTAACTGTCAACGGTTTGGGCACTTGGCAAGGAACTGTAAGGAGAAGAGGAGGTGTGCGCGGTGTGGTGGAGATCACGAATATGGGAAATGTGAAGACGGGGTTCAGCCTAAATGTTGTAGTTGTGGTGGGAGTCACAGTGTTGCGTATGCTGGGTGTGAGAGAATGAAACAAGAAAATAATATTCAAAAAGTGAGAGTGGAGAAGAAGATCTCATATGCGGAAGCAGTGAGAATAACGAGAGCGAGTACACAGGTCAGCGTCGACTCAGTACAGGGCATTTCTGGGCAAGGAGCCCCCCAGACGGACGCAAATTGTATTGTTATTGACAAGCTGGCCTTAGTTACTTTTATTGCAGGAGTGATAAACGCCACAGCTGAGGTAAAATCCAAGCATGAGAAAATTCAGCTTATTGTTAAGGCGGCAGTTAACCACCTGGGATTAGAAGGACTGACATGGGAAGTTGTGAGGGATAACCTCAATCATCAGTCAAGTCAGGAAACGCGATGTTGTTCTCCTTAATCATGGTACTTCTCCTTCAGTGGAATGCAAGGAGTCTGTTGGCCAATGGCCAGGAGTTTAAGCACTTCATCAAAGAACTTAATGTTAAACCGGATGTCATTTGTATACAGGAATCTTGGCTTAAACCGTCTTTGGATTTTGTGTTGTATGGGT